GTCGGATCCGGACTCCGGGTTGCGATCCGCTCCGGAAACTGCGCAGCACCGGAAGCCGGGGGGGCGGTGGCGCGGCATCGTGGGAGTTGTAGTGCGCAGCGCGGGCAGACGGGGCGGGCCTAGGGCTCCGGCTGCTGGGACCCGAAGCTGGAGACTACCGGCTTCACGGACAGAGAATCAGGGCTAACTGGCGGTTTAGTAGGGGAACCTGGGACGGACTATGTGGAGTGGTAGCTGGCAGGGTTTTGTGGACAGTGAGACTAGGAAACGACTGCGTGTATTGAAGCACCCGGGGACAGAGATGCATGGTTGCAGAGATGGAGAATGATTGTCTTCCTGCAGGGGGAGCGGGTAACTAACTGGCTGTATGGATGGGGAGCAGGAGAGGCAATAATGTATGGAGAGTTCGTGGAGCAGGCTATGAGGATCCAGGAGAAGGGATTGAGTAGACGGGAAAGCTGGGGAGAGGGGCTTGTGTGATCCATGAGAGATGGCCAGACAGTGTATGGACTGAGGAGCTAGGCAGACAGGCTGTCTGTGAATAAGGGTAGAATGAGTGGGTAGACACAGAGCATCTTTGACCTTCAAGACACCTTTAAAACACAACCCCACCATCCCATGCACCACTTTCATTGATTTTACTCATTCTAAAGTGCCCAAGAGGGTCAGTTCTCTGGGCCTCCACACATGAATAGGACTAAATAAAACCAGGCTGTTTACAGGAGGAAAAAGTGATAGGTCACAGCAAGAAAAGCCAGTGTAAATTTGGGGCTAAGGAAGACATGGAAGTGGAATGGATTATTGACTACTAAGCTATGAACTTTACCTTGGAGCAAAGTTAAGAAAGCAAAATTACTTGAAAGACTGCCAGGGCCCCCTGCTCCTACCCTCCACCTCCACTCTCAGGAAGTTGTGACCTCATGATTGTTTTCATCATATTTAGCTGCCTAGGCACTGTCAGTGGTGACCCAAGAGCTGGCAAGAGTCCTTGGTGGTGTCCACATGATACTGGTTTTGCAATACAAAAGTTAGGGGGGTCATCCAGATTTCAGAGGAGTATCTTGGAGGCTAAATGATATTTCATAGGATCAAAATAATTGTGGGGAGCCCCTGAGTGGATGATTAATGTTTGAAGCCAGCAGAGTAAAAGCTGAAGGGGCTGGGAAGTTAGAGATGCCCCGAGTGTGGGAATACCTGCTAAAATAGCTACATTCAGCAAGCTAAGCCCAGACAGCAACATGTGAGCTGTGTAAGCCCATTGGGGCTCACGTAGCTCCACAACATACCTGGGATGTAGAAGCATGGATCTATAGAACTTCATGTCTGCTCTGCTGAGTTTTGGTCTTGGTTTGATCCCATCCCTGCTTTCTCTGCATCCATTCCTCTGGAATGGGATTACAGCTAAGACTTTGCATTTGAGTCTTAGAAGAAACTTTAAACCTGAACTAAGATATCTGGGACTCCTGAGGTTGACTACATGTGTTTTCCATTAATAAGATGCCCAATACCCTTTGAGGTTCAGAGACAGGACATTAAGGATTAAATACTGTATTAGTTACTTTTTTATTGTTTGATAAAACACCATGGCCAAAACCAACGTAGGGAGGAGAGGATATACTCCTGTTTATAACTCTCAGATCACACTGGATCGCTGAGGAAGTCAGGGTTGGAATCTGGAGACAGGAACTAAAGCAGAAGCTATGGAGAAATGCTGCCTAGTGGCTTGCTCTCATGGCTTAAACCTCTCAGGACCGTCTACCCAGGGATGGCCTGGCCCACAATACCCTAAGGCAACAGTTACCCTCAACCTATGGGTCACAAACCCTTTGGGGTCAAACAACCCTTTCACAGGGGTTGCCTAAAACTATCAAAAAACACAGATATTTACATTACGATTCATAATAGTAGCAACATTACAGTTAGGAAGTAGCAATGAAAATAATTTTATGGTGGGGGGCATCACCACAACATGAATTGTACTAAAGGGTCACAGCATTAGGAAGGTTGAGAACCACTGGGCCAAAGCCTTCCACATCAATCACTGATTAAGAAAATCTCCACAAGCTTATCTACAGGTAAATCTTATGCAGACATTTTCTCATTTGTGGTTTCCTCTTCTCAGATAACTCTAGCTTGTGTCAAGTGAACAAAAATACCAACCAAGACAAATATGAGGTGCTCTCCCAGGTTCCTGTGCCAAATGCCTGGTGCCAAGTTGACAGTGCCATTTTTGGGAGATAGTGGGAACTTCGGGATGTGGGGTCTAACTGGAGGTGTGCCTCTGAAGGTTATACCTGGTCCCAGGTTTCTTCCTATGTTTCATGTTGAACACGAGGTGACCTCTCCCATAAGCTTCCGTGATATACTACCCTCATTTTGTCACAGTAACAAAGGCTAACACAACACCTGAGATGTATGTCTTCCCAGAAACATACCTCCTCAGTTCAGTTTTTGGTTAATATAAATGTTAGTATATATGTCATACTAACATAAATGTTAGTATAAATGTAAAATATAAATGGTGGCACGTGCCCTTCATCTCAGAGCTTGATAGGCAGAGGCAGGTAGATCTCTGTGAGTTCAAGGTCACCCTGGTCTACAAAGAGAGTTCCAGGACAGCCAAGGCCGTTACACAGGGAAACCTTGTCTCAAAAAATCAAACATGCATACATGTATTTGTGTGTATATGTATGCATATATATATGTACACACACACACACACACACACACACACACACACACATATATATATATATATATATATATATATATCCTTCATTGCAAGGCGTTACAAACATTCCAGCCACCTCTCTGACTAGGGGCTGTGGAGATGACTCTGGGTGGGGAAGTGCTTGCTGAGCAAACATGGGGCAGGAGTTTGAATCCTAGCACCCATGTAAAAACACACAAACAAACAAACAGGGCTATGCATGCCTGCAGCCTCACCACTAGAACCATGTATGGGGCAGGAGCACTGGGGCTTGTTGGCACCATCCCAGGACTAGGTTCAGTAAGATCCTGACTCAAGGGAATAAGGTAGAAAGTGATAGAGGACATCGGCCTGCTCTTTTGGCCTCCATGAACACAAGCAAGAAGTACACATGTGTGTAGACACACATCAGGATACTTCTATACAGATAAAGAGGGAAATCTAATCAAGGAGTAAGGTAATTCCAACTAGGTGCACAACACTGAATTCCACTTGATAGCATCCATAGCTAAAAGGCAAGATTAGACTGCAAGAAAAGCCAGAGTAAACTACAGTCCTTAATCTCTGCATTAACACAGGCAGACTTGGGGACTGGAGGCCATAGTATGTCAATGGCACCAATATAGAGAGGCCATACTTTTGAATCTGTTGCATGCAGGATGACTTGGAAATGTTCATTGTGGGCAGCCATAGCACAGGGCTGTGCTGTGCTGTGGTCAGAGGATAAACCCGTACGAGTCTGGCCTGGTGCCTTCTCTTCAAGGAGGTTACTATGTGGTTATTCACCTTGGTGTCGAGCCTATCTGAGTCACCCTGCATGCTCCTTTTTTATGAAGCACTGGTTGACATATACCTACAGCACCCTGCACTTGTAGGTATGTCTGATGCCCAAACATTATGTTACCTACATTCCCTCCAGCATCTAGCTCAGTCTTGACAGGAGGTGAATGGGACGGGATGGGCGGAAGCCACCAGCGGATGCCATCCTCATGCCAGTGAGTGCACAGCAGCAGAGCCTGATAGATGGGGACTAGCCATGGCAGGCAGCTGCCCCTGTGGGCCCTTAGTAGCCCTTCATGAAAAGTCAGGGCCTGAGTCAGCCCAAGCAGGGAAGATGGACTGTCAGGAACCCAGAATTCCTCTGGAGGTGCCAGCAGAAATCAGCCTGGACAGCTGGTAAATTCTGACAAGTCTGGTCCTCTAGTCCTCTCTTGGAATGTAATCACAAAACAGACCTTAGTTTGAAAAAGTACTCCTGTAGACTTTGGAGTATTTGAACACTTGATCTCCAGTTGATGCTGCTGTTTGGGAAGGCTTTGGAACCTTTAAGACTGAAGTTCTCCGCCTTCCTAATGCTGCAACCTTTTAATACAGTTCCTCATGTTATTGTGACCCCAGACATAAAATTGTTTTGTTGCTACTTCATAACTAATTTTGCCATTTTTATGGATCATAATGTAAATATCTATGTTTCCTAATGGTCTCAGGCAACCCTTGTTAAAGGGTCATTCAACCCCCAAAGGGGTTGTGACTAACACGTTGAGAACCACTGCTTTAAGAGGTGCAGCCCTGCTGAAGGAAGTACTCCACTGGGCTTTCAGGGATTATAGCCTTGCCCCACTTCCTGTTCAGATTTCTGTGTGAATAAAAATGTGATCAGCTAAGTTCACACTCCTGTTCATGATGCCCTCCCTGCCATAATGGACTCTGATCCCTCTGAAACTATGAGCCAAAATAAACCCTTTCATCCCTAAACTGCTTTTTGTCAAGGTATTTTTATTACAGTGATGACACCTCCACAATAGAAGCCCCATTTGATGCAGAAAATGTATGGGGCTTGGTTCAGGAGTGGCTGGCTATCTCATGTGATATGAAAGCAGGCCAAAAGTAGAGCTGAAGAGTGACCCAGACTGATGAATGTTCCCAGCCTTCACTCCCCAAACGTGTCTCACAGGCCATGTCAGGCACTGCTTTGGGGGACCTGGCCCAAAACAGATCCTGCCTTGCAGCACCCACAATTCATCACTCCCCAGAAGGTTTCTGAAGCTGCTAAAATTCTACAGTAAATTTTACCCCCAGCTTTGGTGGACTCAATAGCACACAAAATATAGGAACACGAGGATGAAAAGTCCATTGAAAGGCATGAGGGTCAAAGAAGGTATCTGTGTATATTTTCAGTCAGTTGGCTGCAATTGCCAGTCATACAAAGGGACAAAGGATGGTAGCAATTCAAATATTAGAGAAGCTCCTGGTACTCTAAGGACAACCCAGAACTTGGAAACCACTCAGCTCAATGTTTTCCATGAGCACATTTATTTATTGAGAGGTCAGTGGAGTTGCAGCCATGTCTCGCTGCCTAGGGTGGTGCAGGGTGACACCCACATCCAAAGTGCTGCAACAAATACAATCATTGTCATAGACGCTAGTCGCTACTCACCAGCATCAGGCTCACCACACACCTGGGAAGCCTTTACTTTTATTCTCTTTGCAGTAGAGGTTTGACATGACAGCGGGCAGAAAACTATGGCTTACAGCCCAGGGCATAATCAATCACATCTCCACTCCACCATCAGCAAAGTGAACCAGGCAGCTTGGTGATTCCAATACTTATTTATACACAGAACAGGGACATTTTACATAAATAGCCAGAGGTGACGGGAGCTTGCACTGCTGGTTTGAACAGTGTCTTTGTCTCTGTGCAGGTGCTTTGGTCCTCAGGTCTTGGCCTGTTGAGACAGTGGGGACATTGCCTGTCATCAGGGTCAGTACCCACACCTGTTTCTGTGTGAAAGAGACACTTCCACCATCTATCAACTTGTACTTTGAAAGTTGAAGATTGACAGCCCTGAGCTTATTAACCAAAGAAAACACCACTTTGGGTGGCAGCAATATGAATTAATCTTCCCCTTTCTGCTTGAGAAGAACATTTGCAACTCTCTTCTGTAAATGTGGCCCAGGGAAAACCCAAGCAAAAATCTGATTTAGAATTGGTCAGCAGTAAATAGCCTGCTTCCTTCCATAGCCAGGAAGCAGGGCTGGTTTTGAACTTAAACTAAAATTTAAAATAAAGTGCTTTGTCTAAATCCTCTTCCTCATAGTAGGTTTTCAACCAGAGCAAGAGAGCCCTAGTTTTGTTACTGCTACACCCACATCACACACAAACAGCTCTATTTAGTCCCTGCATGAAGGACAGGGGAAATGTGGCCAGTTCACTCCAGCCAACCTGAGATCTGCTTCTAGATTCACAGACACCTGAATTAGTGTTCATGAGAAATTTCTTCAAAACTAGCACTCTGCCAAAAGACAGAAACTGAAGCCACAAAAGAATGCAGTGGGGATGGTAGGACAGAGATAACTTACACATGTGTGCTGTGGGCAACTGGTACATAATCTTATGACGTTCATCCCAGACCTATACCATGAAGAAACAAGAGGATAAACAGCTTGGAGAAGAGACTTCAGAGTACAAGGAAGTGCCTGAAGCCGCCTGTTTGTGTCCCCATCTCTGCACCCTTTGCTGTGATGGTGCTCCCAATGGAGACCCTACAGGACAGGTCTTCGATGTGGGCAGGAAGCCAGGAACAGGATGCTCACAGGGTCATGTGGAGGCTAGGATGGCTAAAAACCATTTGTTCTTTTTTTGTTGTCATTGCTGATAGAGGAAGTACAACCTAAAATTCTGATGCCTTCACACTTGAAAAACTGAACATAAATATCAAAACCAATCAAACCAACAAAATCTGCATAAGCTGAGCATCCCTAACACAAAAGTCTAAACCCCAAAACTCTGTGTGTAACATAGTGTCCAAAGAGTTTCATATTTCTGAAAATTTTATATGTGGGATTCAGGGATGCTCAGATGGTAAAGACTTATCAAGATATTCCCAGATCCAAAAGGTGTCTCAAATTCTTCTGGCCCCACACATGTTAGATGAGGGCTACAACCCCACACTGAAAACACAGCATCAAAATCAGAATCCCTGACACACCACAGTCTCTGGGAATGGACAGCTATGTGTCACAATTCTGTACACTGTATGGAATATCAACACTTCAAGTAAAGCACAGCATGTAAATCACACTCATTCCCAAAAAGAGTATTGGGGGTTACTGGCTTTGGGAACCCATTTGGGAACCACTGATGACTCCACTCTGGAAATTTGTAGTGACTTAACATAAGGTGAAAATATACTAAAATGTCTCTTCAAAGTCACCTGAAAACCACCTGAGATTCTTCCAGGTTCTTTTTTTTTTTTCTATTTTTGTTGCTGTTTTTAGAAGGGGGTCTCATGTAGCCCAGGATGGCTTAGACGCTAACATCCTCCTTTCTCCACCTTCTAAATGCTGGGATTACAGGCCTACACAACCACACCCATCAAGAATTTTCAAATTCATTTTAATTCTATGTTTATTTGGAAGTAAAATTCACCGGGCCTAGTGGCTCAGGCCTGTATTTCCAGCTACTTGAGAGACGAAGGCAGGAGGATCAGAGTTCAAAGTATGATTGAGCTGCAGAACAAATTACAAGGCAGCCCAGTCAAATTCATAATAAAAAGTAAAAATAGGGCCAGGGAAATAGTTCAGTAGAGAAGGGCTTGTCCAGTGTGCAAAAAGCCACAGGGTTAATCCCCAGAACGGAGTAAATGAACAGAAAGAAAGAAAAAGGATTTCTAATACGGGTTTCCAATCTCTCTTGCTAAAACAGGAAAAAAAAGAACATATTCCTATAATTTTGGCTTTCATAGACATCTTTGGTCAACAACTGTGTCTTTGCCCCTGATATTTCTAATGAACAGCAGAGGCCAGAAGGAGCTTCCTGACTTCTTATCAGTGACAGAACTCAGGTCTTCCTGTCAGCACTTCCATTGTTATAGGAAGAAAACGGATGTTAGTAACAGGTCAAAACACCCCAAGAACAGTGGCTCTGGAGGGCTGTGAGACCCAGTGAATCTACAGCGCCAGGCACACAGATGAGGACAGTACCTTATGGATACAGGGGGATACTGAACCCAGGTGCCAACTTTATCATTTTCCCACAGTAAAGAAAAACCAGGATACCTCAAAAGATGACCAGAAGTCCCTGTTCACAGTAGAATTTTGAAGAGCCCATAAAAAGAATTCCTGCAAGTTTGGCCCATTGTTATAAAACTTCTATGCCTAACACTAATTGGCACCCAAGATACAGAATAATTTCTTCAGTTGCCCTAAAAGTTCTTTGTTTTGGTTGTTGGCTGTGTGATCATGTCCTACCAGCTGTCAGGCACTGCTCCCGACGTCAGCCTCAGTGTGTTTGAGCTTAGTGTGCTGCTGTGCCATGTGAAAAAACAGAACCCTAGCAGAAGAAACAAACATATCTGAATTTCTACACCTCTGCTTGCAAGAAGGCTCAAGTAAATCTGGAAGTGTCTGGTATAATCTGCTTAGGACACATTTAGTGTTTGTGTAAGTCTTTAACTTCTATGGCTAATATCAAAAGCGAACACCTTCTAATACTTGTCAAAGCATATCTTTTTCCTATTATATTTTCTTCATGGCTCAAAAATCCTGATTATATCTAAACCACCGTCCCCAGGGCCAGATGCACTATTTAATTCTAAATAGCAAGATATGTGAGGTGGCCCATTCTGCTCATAGCAACAGCCCACAGCCCACCTTTCTCTCATGCCATGGTCCAGACATGAACCCTAGTAGTCCCTGAAGGAGAGAGGAAGAAGTAGGTGGACTGGGATCCCTCCTGCCTACTATCGATAGTCCATCAGAGCACACATGCTTTACTGATGTAAATATCTATCTTACAGTCCACCCCAACACTTGGATTACATGGTGACAGCTGGAGCCAGGTGTTCCCACTGAATATCTGGTGGCAAACTGGACGGAATTATCAGCCATCTTCGGGGAAGCTTCCTGGACAAACAGACAGATTTTTTTTTCCTTTAAAAACCAAGATTATTGAGGGGAAAAAAAAAAACCAAGCTAGACAAAGCACGCATCCGATGGGACTGGTTCCTGCTCTTCTGCTGGGGTCTTTGTGGTCCCATTCTCCAGCTCTGATGATGGGGTAACTTGAGCTATGTTCAGGGCTCACTGGTCGCTCCATTCACGGTGTGTTTGCCTCTGTGCCTGGTAAGCAGCTTCTTGTTCAGGAGCCGGCTGAGGGTTGCCCCCTTCTTCTGCCTCCCCTCTGGCTGCTGCAGGAATACCAAGTCGTTATGTGACTGGCTCATGCCTGGGTCTTTCTGCTGGTGTCGCCGGCGGAAGAAGAGCTTGGCACTTTTCCTTAGAATTCCTCCTGCAAGAGGGGCGCACAGGAGTGGTCAGGGCTGTGGGAGAATGAACCCAGGCCAAGGAGGAAGCAAAGTTCCCAGACACCTGTACAACCTGTGACAAAACCAGGCACTCCCTCAAGGAATGGCCACCGCCCACAGAGGCAGACACGGTAACCAAGCTGGCGGGAAGCCACTTTTCAGAGTTAAAGTAAGAACCTTCCAACAGCAAGACTGGCAAGCCTGCATTGTTAAGTAGGTGGGCTGGGGGTCCCTTATGACCCCTCCCCTTTACTAGGAACTCTGTGATAAGCAAGGCCATTCTGTATGCCCAGGAATGAAGGATATACTCCTAACAGCAAGCTTAGAGCCCTGTTAATCATGGAGCTTGTGTTCTTAATACAGTATTGTTCTTTGAGGAATAAGGTTTATTTTTAAAAATTAACTCTAGATCATTCTTTAGACTTGCACAAGGATATTTTATCTATTTTATCTACCAGTCTGTTCATACGCTCACCCACTCACCCACACTAGACTAAGTCATATGAAACTTGTTAGTGGACCATTTTCAACCTAGAAAGTCTCATGCTAGGCTGAGAATGTAACTTAGTAGTAAAGTACTTGCCTGGTGTGCATAAGGTCCTGGGTTCAATTCCCAGCACACATTCACCCAACAATGAAAATAATAAAAAACAAACAAAGAAAAAGAAGTGGGCAAGACAAAATGAAAAGAAGCCCTTGATTTTGTTTGGCTCAACTCCTTGGCACAGATGCCGAGTATGGTGTATGGGACAGAAAACAGAAAGCAAAGTGTGGTAGCACTTGTGGGGTTAAAACAGTCCCTGAGAGTCAAGTGCAGGCACAGCGCAGATGAGAGGAAGCTCAGCATCACCTTTTCACCAAATAGTCTAGCATCCTATTAACCCAGGCCCAGCAAGGCCAGGGGCAGCGCCATGCTAGCCCATGAAGTTCATTATTGTTTGCTTCAAGGAGTTGTGTTCAAAAGAGGAGAAGCTGGGCCATGGAGCCAGGGAGATCTGTCCTAAACTTGACGAGTTTTTTTTTTTTTTGGCATATAAGCCACATTCAACAATCCTGATACACATACATGGCCTCCTGTGTTGCTCATGAATAGGAGGGAAAGCATGGATGTGCTTCTGTACACGAAACACATGCCAACATGTTAGCATCTGGTAGGGATCTCCTTATCATTCATATTCACAATGGAGAAAGAAGTTGGTTGCTTTAAAAAGCCACCTAGGGTGAGTGGGGTGGTATACATCTTTAATCCCAGTACTAGGGAGACAGGGGCAGGCAGACCTCTGAGTTAGAATCTAGCCTAGTCTACAGAGCAAGTTCTAAGACAGCCAGGGCTACAAAGAGAAACCCTGAATCAAAAACAAAACAAATAAAAGAACCCCCAAAACAAACAATCAGTCACCTTGGCAGCCTGACCTTAGTGATGAGTTTGCCTTCTCCTGTTGGCAGAAGCAGAACAGCTGGACTGCCTCAGAGGAGTAAGCTAATTTAATCTGCACAAATTTGCCAAAAAATGTTTAAAAACCTCTCTTTTAACAAACAAATTGCTTGCCATGAAGCACAGTTAGGACAGAGTTTCACATTTATCCCAGAGCAATTGCTAGGATCTGGGGATGCTGGAAAGAGAATGAAAAGGAGGTAAATATGGTCAGGCAAATGACTTTGCTCCAAGCCACAGCCTGGTGTTGCCACAGGTGAGAGGGATTGTTGCTAGAGTGAGTCTTGTCTCTGGGCAAGAGGCCAATCACCAGTTAGTGTTTGGATGGCTGGGTACTAACCTCCAGCTGGACATGACTGGAGCTGGTTCGTGTATGAATACAAAGATACTCGTGTGGGTAATTCTGTCATATCAAAAGCATCAGGCAGGCAGAGAACTGAGCTCTAGGCATAGATCCTCCTGGCTTTGAGTAGTCGGTTTCTGGTGTGGGAGAATTGTCTGTATTCTGTCAATCATATTTTAATAAAACGCTGATTGGCCAGGCAGGCAGTATAGGCGGGAAAGCCAGATAGGAAGTAGGGGTGGAGCAAAGAGACTGGGAGTATTCTGGAAGCAGAAGCTCCCTCCGCCATTCCTGCGCAGACCACCGAAGAGGCAGCATGTAACTTGCCCAGCTGAGAAAGGTACTGAGCCATGTGGCTAATGTAGATAAGGATAATGGGGTAACATAAGTTATAAGAGCTAATAAGTAGCCTGACCTAATGGGCCAATCAGTTTATAATCTTATGGAGTCCTGTGTGTAATTTCCTTTGGGGTTTGCGGGCTGTGGGGTACAGGGCGGGACAGAAGCCCCAACAAGCCGGCCCCTCATGCTACAGGTTTCCAAGCCCTAGGTTACCTGGGCTAGAGGTGGGGAAAGAGGGTCTGTGAGGATTTCAGACTTACAAGCACCTCCTAGATTTTGCTCTAGGTTAGCTTTGGAGTTCCCAAAGAGCGCAAACACTGGGGGACTCACACTTGAAATAGAGGAGGTTGGAGGGTAAAGGGAAGCCTGAGAAAAAGAACATAATAATCCATGCCCTGGGCCAACTGCAGACCCCAGAACCGTGTGGTAGGATGGACCCTGCATGTCCCTGAACTGAAGCGAGCCTGGGGTGGGGACTGAATTTTGGATCAGTATAGTGCTATGAGCTGAACTGTGTTGTTCTCAAGTTTCTGTGTTGAACTCCTAGCCCCCAAAATCTCAGAATGTACCCTTTGGAGATGGAGTCACTCCAGAGGTGATCAAATTAAAAGGTGATAATTAAGATGGGCCTAATAAAACATTCCTGGTGTCTGGTGGCCTTATGAGAAAGGGAACTTTGAAGAGACACAGAGAGGGAAAATGATGCGGAGGACAGGAGGTAAAGCTGGAGATATCTATAGGGCAAGGAAGGCCACGGATTGTTGCAATGGCCTGAAGCTAGGAAAGGCCAGGGGCAGTTTCTTCCTCCTGTCCTCAGAAGAAGCCAGTCCATTGGACACTCCAATCTCAGGTTTGCATTTAGAAATAAAAGATCATAAAGCTACCATTTAAGACAACACAGGTACCTTGATCACAAGGGACAAACATGGATTAGTCCAGGTTAAGGCAGGAAGTCAGACCATGAAGACAGGCACAGGGTGACTACATTCAAACAGCTTTTTTTTCTTTAATTATCTTTTTTTCCAAACAGTTTTAAAAGGTAATCGTCACACTTCCTGGCCATCACTACAATTCCTCAAGAGAAATTGCAGCATGAATACCTACAGTCAAATTCCGGACCTGAAGTGCCAAAGACTTTCAAAAGATTGTAAGACTGATTGACTTGAGGGTCTTAAGTTTTATTGTTTCTCAGCTGTTTGGCTAAGATCAACTGCAGAAAGATTTAGAAGGAAGAAAAGAAAGAAAAAGGAAGGCTTTAAGCGTGTGTTTGTTGTGATCTCTACAAATGTCCAAGGTTTAAGCTGCCAGTTTAGCAGCGCTATGCATTAAGCAGACGTGCACCTGTTCTCGGGTCCCACACCATGATGTGGCCTATAGCAAGGTTGTTTTCTGTTCTTCCAGCCTCCCTCATGATCGCTGCAGCCCCTCTGCTGGTGTGCTAAACTTCACTTTCCAGCATCCATCAGAAATGGATGCTGTCCTATGCTATGCACTGACATGACAATCTTCCTGCACTGGTTTGTAAGACCTTGGAAATTATGACTTCCATGTGGATGATATGGTCTTCCAGACTGAAGGGAATTCCTTTGATATGGGTGCTGATACTGTCTCAGCAGGCTTGCACTCTCGAGTCTGGGGGAACCTTCACTGAAAAATGAGGACATCAGAGTTGGAGAAGTGACTACTCAGGTCCCACAATGATCTGAGAGAGAGAAAGAGAGAGAGAGGGAGGGAGATCTTTGTCTCTCTTTTGGAGAGAGAGAGAGAGAGAGAGAGAGAGAGAGAGACAGAGACAGAGACAGAGACAGAGACACAGAGAGAGAGAGAGATCTTTGTCTCTCTTTTGTGGTGCTGGATATCAAACTCACATCTAATGGGTACCAGATAAACTCTACCACAGAACCATACTCCGAGTTATGAACTAACTAACACATTTACTATGTGTTTAAACCTCATCACCACAATTACCATTAGAGACAAATAATTCTGGAAGAACCATGGCCACAGATATACATATCAGTCAGGATGAGAGGCACAGAGACACTGGTGAGGGAAGTGGGCTCAGAAGACAGGGTAGACTCTGCTAGGAGCTGAGGATTAGATAAAGGGAGGTCACTCACTGAGATAAGCTTCTCAGCTCTCTAGCACAGCAGATGACCACAGTTCACAGGAAGTCATATGAATACAAGAGCAGGAAGGCTCCATGCACAAAGTCTTAAGAAGGAAACTCTCCTGACTCGTCTTTATGTGAGTGTCTACATGCTAAAATATCACACCGGCCTTCCTGGGGGTGTTGCTTAGCATAAGTCTGCGATACATTAAAAAGCCTCCAGTGTTAAGGAGACATGAGCCCTGGTTGAACTGGTTTGACTTTCACACACTGGGTTTTCGAACTTTCATTTGAAGTTATGTGAAATCTAAGGCAAATCACATAGTTTTTAAATGGGGAGCTGGCACTGAGGAAAATTCTCTTCCTGGTGTTAGTCTCCCCTTTAAAAATACCCCCAAGAAGACTGAAGCATGAATAGACGCAGAAAGGAATTTGAAAATTATTCTAAATTCTAGCGCTGCTGTCACATTTCTAAATTTATCCTATTTATTTCTGTGGAGGGGCAGATATAAATAGCCAATGGAAGAATCTGTATTAAAATCTGCATGTAGGAAGACAATGGCCCTAGCAACCTGAAAATGTGTGCTCTGATGTCCAAAAGCAACCTCAGATCTCAAAAGAAGTCTCAGACAGACCATGCATACAAGAGACAACTCAAGAGAAAAGAACCCAGTAGAACCCCGCCAGGCTCCCTTATCCCAGTCAGGCCGCACAGGTGATGCCTTGCTGGAGCTATCACACCAAGGTGGCTTTGCACCATCAGAGGACAGAGGAAGTGTCCTGTTCAATGGTTGATGAAGGTGACAATCTACTTAGAAATCAAAACCATAGAAAACCAGCCACAGGAAATGTCAGGCCAGCAAGCAAAGAGAAAGGCAGTGGGAAACCTTCACTCTGCTGGTACTCTCTACATAGTCAATCACACAGAATTTTTTAAAAATGCAAGATGAAAAATAACTTACTGTGTAGATAATTAATTCTGGTTGGCATAGTGATCCTCTTAAGTTAAAGGGAACGAGCACGAGATGCAGAGATGTTGAGAGGCAAAAAGAAAAGCACGCAAGAACAGAGTCAGAATGAAAGTTAGAGCTTGGAGTCATTATATCACAGTGCACACACATGCTCACACACTTGCACACATGTGCATTCACATGCACACCTGAGTACACTGATGCACACACATGCTCACACTTGTATACATGCACACACATGCACATATAAGCACAGACTCATACACACATGCACATATACTACACACGTATATACAAACATGTGAACATGGGCAGTCATGCTCATATTTGTACATGCATGTACTTGTATATGCATTTTTGAGCATACACATGTACACGTGCAAGGTTGCCATCCAAGATATTTGTCAACGTTTCTTTCCAGTTTTTTTTCCTCAAATTTTTCTAAATGCCTTTGTGATGAACACAGGGCAAAATTTACCACCCAAACCCATGTGCACAGTTCCAGTGGGCTTATTATCACACAACTGCGGCTGTGCTTTCTTTTCACGTGCTGAGAACAACCCAGGACCTCATGCATGCCATACAAAGCACTCTACCACTGAGCTACATCTCCAGTCCTGCCAACGCTTTTAGAACTTAAAATAAATTGAATTTGGGAAATCAATTTTCTGTTTTGGCTGAAATATCATAATATATAAATTCCCATTCAGCAAGAGTCCAGGAAAATTCCAGTTCCGTGGAACTCCAAAGCCTCCAACACTTTCCTGACTATACTAGAAGTTGCAGATGGTTTGCAAGTTATATGTAAATCTTGGTTTAAAACCAATCCCTGGGGGCTGTAGAGAAGGCTAAGAGGTTAAGAGCTCAGGTAAACTGTTTCAGTGGGTGTCCCCATCACGGTCAGGACCTCTTTGCTCATATTCTCACTCCTCCCACTCTTCAACTGGACTTTGGGAGCTCAGTCCAGTGCTCCGATGCAGGTCTCTGCCTCGGTTCCCATCAGTTGCTGGATGAAGGTTCTATGGTGATATTTAAGATAATCATCAGTCTGACTACAGGGCAAGGCCATTTCGGGCACCTTCTCCTCTATTGCTTAGCTGGGGTCATCCTTGTGGATTCCTGGGGATTTCTCTAGTGCCAGGTCTCTTGCTAGTCCCATAATGGCTTCCTCAATCAAGATATCTCTTTCCTTCCTCTCATCTCTGCCCTTCCTCCATCTAGACCATTCTGTTCCCTCAAGTTCTCTTCCCCACTTCTCCCCTCATCTTCCCCATCCGCCCTCCCTACACCCCCATGCTCCCAATTTTGTCAGGCCATCTTGTCTATTTCCCCTTTCCAGGTGGATCTATGAATGTTTTCCTTAGGGTTCACCTTGTTACTCAGCTTCTCTCGGATCATGAACTATAGGCTCAATATCCTTTGCTTTACAGCTAGTCTCCACGTATGAGTGAGTACACTCACCAACTCCAGCCAGACAGGGAAGGAAACAGCATAGTTCAAACTAGTCCCTCTGAATGTGGGTGACAGTTGTATGGCTGGGGTAGACTGTGGGGCCACTGGCAGTGGCACCAGGATTTATCCCTACTGCTCGTTCTGGCTTTTTTGGAACCAGTTCTCTGAATAGATACCTTGCTCAGCCCAAATATAGTAGGGAGAACCTTGGACCTTCCCCCAAAGCAATGTGCCTTACCCTCTCTGAGGGTGGGGTGGGGTGGGGTGGGGTGGGGTGGGGGATAGGTAGAGGGAATGGGAGGAGGGGAAGGAGTGGGAACTGGGATTGGTATGTAAAATTTAAATTTTTTTTTTTAATTTTTAAGGTTAAGAGCACTGGCTGCCCATCTAGAGGACCCAGAACCCACATGGTAGTCTACAACCACCTATAATTCCAGTTCCAGAGAATGGGACACTCTTTTCTGGCCTCTGAAGGCACTAGGCATGCAAGTGGTACCCAGATATACATTCAGGCAAAATACCCATATACATGAAATAAATTAAAACAAAACAAAAAACAACTAAACCCCACCAAGCCATTTACTGTAGAACCAGTTTTGAAAAAAAAATAGCATGAAATGAAACAGTTTGACAACCCAGCTTAGACCTATTTAACATTCTACCAACATGTCAGGCTAAGTACAAAGCTTCTAGAAACTGCAGGATAAAAACTAAGTGTGTGTGTGTGTTGGGGGGGTTATATTGCAGGTGTAGTCAATATACATCTGTGTGGGGGTTAGAGGTTAATATCAGGTGTCTTCCTCTATTTTTCTCCACCACAGCTTTTGACAGAATACCCTACTAAACCTGCAGCTCACTAACTGGCTAGTCTGGCTAGAGAGAGCTCCTGGGACCCTTACGTCTTTGTCTCTCATTAGCACTGGGATTACAGATGTACATGCTTTTGCATGGGTGCTGGGACTCTGAACTTGGTTCTTCATGCTTGCATAGTAAACACTTTGCCCACTGAGCATCTCCCTAGTCCCATACACACACACACACACACACACACACACACACACACACACACACACACTCAAAACAAGGTTCCACCATTTGGTTCTGCTTGGCCTGAAATTCACCATGTATACCAGGCTAGTCTTAAACTCTGAGATCCCCCTGCCTCTGTCTCTTAAGGGCTGGTATTAAAGGCGTGTGCTACCATGCCTGAGCTCTACAAAAAAAGAATTTTAATACGTTGGCAAATACTCTTTCAAAAAACTTTAGGTCAAGGCATTTCAAGTACCCGAGGGCAGGTTCAACCTCAGCTCCCAGATCAGTCAAACATGCTTGGACCTCCCCCAATGCCCAGCCTCTGAGGGAAGCTCTCATGCAAAGAGACTTTCCCAGCCCCCAGTAGGTGTGACAGACATCCAGACTCCTAAGAGGCATTCATCCATCTGGCCAGTGAAGGGAGAAGGATGTTAGGTGCACAGCAAGGAGGGGAGACCAAAGCTAGCAAGAGCAGGAAAGGCTGGAGGAAAGAAAAGGAGCGGTGTGGGTGGATGCACAGGGGTTGTAGGCTTGGCATCTCTTAGAAACCTGGAGGGCACAGAGGGAGCTTTGGGTTCTGCAGGGACATGAATATATAGACTATTGAAGAAGTGGAGCACAGGATATACCCCAGTATTCCTTGTTCTCCCCTGCTCACTGACTTTCCCAGCAACCTCCCAGAGGCTTCTGTAATCCCAGGATAAAGACCAGGTCAGAGTGTACACATGGGGTAGTCAGTAGACAGTCCACCTGATACCCTGGGACATAGCTCACCCAGGGAGGATACAGTGTTCAACCAAGGGTCCCCAAGGCCATGCTGTGGGAAACGGAGGCTGGGGTGATATGAAATCTTTCCCAGGAACACCCTCTTTCTCTCTTTCCTCTTTTAATGTGCAATTCCTCCCCCTATCCATTTGGCAAAGGGCACAAGTCACAGGCAAAAGCTAAACAACAATAGCTTAGGGATGGGCAGAGGAAGGACAGAATACCCAGGGCAGGTTCTCAACCTCAGCACCTGGGACTTGTGTTCCACTGTGTGGTGGTGTCTGTGCGTGTTCCCTAAAGAGTGTGGTACCTGTAGCTTCTACTCCCTAGGGGCCAATGGTACTACTTTTCCTGTCTAGGACACCACAACTGTCTGGAAACATCACCTATGTCCTCCATGAGGCAAAATTGCCCAGCAGGAGACCCCACCTGTCTCTAGCAGAAGTAGCTGGCCAGGATTCTTAACACCGGGGATGGCTAAGCTTTTTGCCCAGTGCACTCCAAGAGGGTCCTGAGAAATCTGCTGGAGGTACGTGGGCTATGGAGCCCCAGACTCAAGAAAGAGTTAGGAGTGGATACTGAGTTCCACAACAGCTCCTGGGTTGACTCAAGTGCCTCCTTCAGCACTTTTTTTTTTTTTTTTGAGGACGTGGATATTAGGGATGGTCTCTAGGTCTTAGAGGTGAAGCTCAGTGAGTCTGAAATCTCCAAGTCTGGAACTGTTTGTAAAGGTGAGACAAAGGTCTAGGTCCAAGTGTCCACCCCCAAGAAATGCCAGGCTCTGAAATAAGGGCTCATTGCTCATGGGGAAAGAAAACTGATTGTGCTAACAAATGACTTTGATACTATGTATGTATCAAGCCAGTGAGTAGTTACTCTGAGGGGGGATTCTTGCCTTGTAGATCTTGTTGATTCCAGGTGGTGAGGTCTGGTTTGGTTCTAGTTGGAAGCAGAGACTGAGAGGAGCAAGTAAGGTTAGATGCCAATCTCTGCTCACTTTGCTCTGTCCCTGGACACTATGGCACCTAACTCCTGGTGATACTCTGAAGCCTTGGATAGCTCTGTTCCCAGATGGAGAGAGCCAGACAGGGAAGGTGCTTGGAGGCATGAAAACACAGTGGCCCCAGATGAGAAGATGAAGCCCCAGCTGCTCACATGCAGGCTTCCTGCCTGCCTTCCAGCTCTCAGTGTCTGAGCATTCTGGGAGGGAGGGGATGAAGCCAGGACAGCCTCAGAGAGGACAAAAGGAAGGGAGGCCAGAATGGGAGCAACGACACAGAGAGGGAAGCCCAAGCGAGAAGCTGGGGGGCTTGGGGAAAGGGTACCTTTATGCTTCTTGATGGCTCCAAGCTCCGAAGCACTCAAAGAGCTCTCTGACAGTTCGTCCCCATCCGGTTCCTGTAAGGCTGGACCGCTCCATGGTGCTGCTGGGGGTTCCTTCTCCAGGTCCCAGGAGTCTAGATCATCCTCTCTAGGCTTGACGGCAGGCAGGGCCTGGGCTGGCTCATCTTCAGGTGGGGAGGTGGAAGAGGCTGCAGCTGCCTCTTGAGGGCACAGAGCAGATGGGGCATCCCCTTGTTTGGTGCTGCCCATAGACGCTGCATAGTCCAGCATGAGGGCAGCACTGTGGTCCTGAGACAGTGAGGTCTGTCGGGGAGATGTACAACAGGGCTGAGGGCAAACGAAAAAAACAGCCCATGGATATAACAGGAGCACCGAGAAGACAGAGAGGGTTTGACACAATCTGAATAACACCTCCCAAAGCATTGTGACTAGAAATATCAAGCAGTAGCAAGGACAGCTAGCCCCCAAAGGCTCCTGTGCTACATGGTAAAGGCTTATAAAATACGTTTCCATCTTAGCCAAGACTGAGAGCCACACGGCATCCAGAGGGTGCTGGAGAAGAGTTGACACACTTCCTACTGCACAGCTATCAGTAAGGGAACCCCAGAAGGTGAGTGGCAAGGACTATCACTTTCTTCAAAGTAGATGAAGTATAGCTCAGCAAAGAGCATAAACTTGGGCAGGTTTAGTCTTTTACACTTTTGTTACTAAGCACCAGAAGATGATGGGTCCTCCTAAGGACTGTATTTGTGTGTGCAGTTACAGGCACTGAACTAACAGGTAATGTGGAAAGCTGGGACAGCGGCTCAACAGGAGTGACTGAAAGACGCAGCACCCATGCTGTTCTAAACCTGGGTGGCAGTCACACAAGTCGCTTTGCTAAGTGACCGCTGACAGATGAACCAGCTTACAGAAGTGCATGGTGACGACCAATACAACAGTCTGCGTGCCAATAAAATTAATAATCCAAGTGGCCTACAGGTATTAAATATGAAGATTCTTTGATGGTTCTGAGGCAAAGCCAGAAAGTAGAGAGGAGAGGATCATGGGTTATCTTCATCTTGTTTACTAACCCAGACTGGACAAAAGCTTCCACTATTTGGCCTCCATGGCCCCAGAGATCTGCCGCTCATACTCTGGTGACCGAAGAAGCCAAGCAAAGACACTCCCTGCCTTAGTGTTCAAGGTCACTCATGAGCTTTCTTTTGAAGTACTGGATCCAGGATACTCACAATACTGTGTATATCACCACCTATGGTGAGTCATCACTGGCACCTGCCAGCAACTAAGAGAGTGATTTCCAGCATGCTCTCTAGCCTACCTTGTAAGACCCAACCATCTTCCCTAGTCATGGCTACAACTATGGAATCTGTTGCTTCCTGCAGCACTCTCTCCATCTACATTTGGAAACGTCTAGAAAGAACCAGAGTTTCTCCCGTGGCCCCTGGCACTGAAGATCTAGCCTGCTCTGCACTCCAGGGGCATGGCTGTACACAGAGGCAGTTCACACCCACCTTCTGCTCCCCAAAAGTTACCACAGAATTGGAGAGCAGGGAAACTGAACCAGAATATTCTGTAGAACAATCTTTGTTTCTATCAGCAATGAAAAGGAATATGCATATTTATTATAAAATACGTAAATGTTTTAGAAATGAGTAATATGGAAAAAATGGACTTGGGAGGCAGCGAAGAAGAGCCTGTACCATGTGATTTTCTTTCTCTCTTATTAATCATTCCAGAGAAGACTTACCAAGCTCTCAAGCCTCAGGGCATCACTAAGCAGATGGCAGCTACCTTCCTGTGTCAAGAGGACCAATGACTACTGTGGTCCCACAGTAACCACCTCTCTGGTGGGAAGGGACTGTATTAGACGCTGTAGAGGGGACCATCTGGATCGATGAGGGACTGGGTGCTGCCTTCACCTACCTTGGAGATCCCTGAAATTATGATGGTACTTTTCTTCCGCGGGGACTTCAGCTTCAGCTTTGAGGATTCACTGAGCTGCCGAATGGCAACTTCAGCCACAGGATCTGAGCCATTCAGCACCAATAGTTCTGCCAGGAGAAAGGTAGCACTGAGTTCAGTAGCAAAATTAAAAGGCTCTGAGGGAACTCCCAGAAGAGGGGGCAGGAATGGTCTATAAGCAGTGGATGGCAAACATTTTGGAGAAAGAGGGATAAAGTAAGGGGTTGAGGTATGGCAACTAATCTCTCCATAGAGTAGAAGCAGCCAGGAGCCAAATGTAAATGAACAGGCAAGGTCTGGTTCCTGTAAAACTTTATCTTTAGAAACAAGGGAGGTCATCATCATCTACTCCCCGTAGTTATGAGCTACTCATTGACGTGTCTGCGTAAAACTCATGTGTTTTACTGTTTACAAGTTGATTGCTTTTTGTCAAGAAGACTATGCAAAGTGGCAAAAGCCAGCAGACAAAAACAAATGAACTGTAGGTGGATGAGATGGTACAGTGAGTAAAGGCACCATGCCTGACGCTCTAACTTGAATTTGATCCCTGGGACCCAGTGGGGGAAGGAGAGAACAGGTGCCTGCAGGTTGTCCTCTTGATCTCCACATGCATGCAGTAACACACACACAACACACACAAAACACACACACACACACACACACACATACACACACACACACACACGAAGAAAGTAAAAGAAAGAAAAAAGAAATTCTTTAAACATTGGGAAAAATTTGACCTCACAAAGGCACATAACTCTCCCTCCAAAAAGCGGCTGACACACAACACTAATTACAGGCAGCTAATAAAAGCAATTAAGAGCTGGCCCTTCCTGTGTCATAAATATACCAAGTACTGCTGACACAGCCTGCATGCTCCGTGAGGCGAGTCCTTCTTTCCTTTTTTTGTTTTCTTTATTTTTAAACAATAATCTCCACTTGATAAGGAGAATGATGCCAGGCCATCAGGCAGGTGGCGGAGTGGAGGTGCTTAATGGAGTCTCTCCCTCAGAGAATGTGTACTTATAGTTTACACTGTTCTGCAAAAGCAAAACTAAACATGACAAAGAGGGATGGTGGTGTAGCTCAATGATAGATACTTACAGAGTATGCACAAGGCCCTGGGTTTGATTTCCAGGACTACAGAAGCAAATGAAAAAAATAAATGTAACAAAAATGCTTTAAGAATGGCCATGGCCGCAGGTCACAGGGGCTGGTTTCCACAGTCAGTGACACACTTAGTCTTGCCTAGTGCCTGACACTTTCTGTGATGGGGTGAAGGGAATATGTTTTCTTTTTGTTTATAAGCCTCATTTGTGTGTATGTATGTGTGTACATGTTGTATGTGTGTATACATGTGTTTGTGTGTGTACATATGTATGTATTTATTCAATTCTGTGCATATGGGTAGGGACCAGAAGTTGACAATGGGTCTCTTCTTAATAGATCTCCATCTTGTTTTTTGAGACACAATCTTTCATTGAATTTGGAGCTCACCAATTGGTTCAGTAAGCCCCAGGGACCTTTTGTTTCTACCTCCCCAGAGCTGGGCTTATAGACTTGTTTGGCCACTCCCGATTTTTAAGTGGATATTGGAGATCAAACTTAGGTCCCCACACTGACTTATAGAAAGGAAAATGTATCTTCAAGATGAGGATTACATGAAAACAATCCTAAAATTGGAGAATTGATACTGATACAGCTTGAATGTGAAATGTCCCCCACAGTGTTTAAAGGGCCTGCTTCCCAGATGAGGGTGCTACTCTGGAGGCTGTAATACCTTTAGGGATGGAACCACTGCCATTGAAGGTCAAGGCCCAGGCCTTGGTTCCAGAGCTCCCTCTCTGCTTCCTGGTGGGTCATGATGTGAGTAGGCTCTATTACACACTCTGGTTAAGATGAATTTACTCTTGAAACGGTGAGCCAAAACAGTCTTTCCTCCATTACACTGTTTCTGCCAGCTCGCTTGGTAACAGTGATACAAAATATACACAATAACTAATCCAGAAAATTGGTAGAGGAGAAGTGAGGTTGTTGCTTCTGCCAAACCTGGATATGTGGTTCTTAGGCCTTTGGAAATGGCTTGTGGGAAAAACATGGGAGAATTTGGAAATGTGGACTAGAAAAACCCTTCAAGAAGGTCTAGAGGCCCCCAACCCCCAAATGACACAGACTATTGCCATTGCTCTTGCTGCCCACCATAACTAGAAGGTAAGACCTATTGCTGAAGACACCACACACTTTCGTTTAGAACACAGAGAAATCTGGAACTGACCTGAAAACTTCCTCCCTGCTGGAAGGTGCTATGCAGGCTGCTGGAGGAGAAAAAGAATCAATGGGCTTACCCAGCAGTAGACCCTGCATCCTATGATACTGACCTAACAGGCAAGAAGTACCTACTAGCACAAGAGCTGCATGGCTGCTATGAAATAACCCAACTGCTTTTGATTGGATTTGATGTCTGTTGCATAAGAAGGAATTCACTCCTGATCCTATAAATCTGGTAAAAGAAATAAAACAAAACAACGGGAAGGAGCCTTCTATTGTTGCTTTGCTAAATGGACATGGTGTCAAAATTTTGTTTATATCCATAGACTAGTGTTAATCTCAACTGCTTTTCAGAGAAGCCCACCCCCTTTATGCAAAGACTCATAACTAATAAAAATGCTGAGAATAAGTAACGTCCCAAGGCTGAGGGAACATTCTGGAAGAAGGGGAGAAAAGAGGAGATTCAGGGTAGGAAAGAGTGCTATAAAATGCTGTCCTCTGGATAGGAAATGGCCATCACACTCATTAAGTCACAGCAGCAGTGATTATTTACACAAGATCAAGCCAGACAACATGGATGAGTGGGTTTCTATCTGGAGAGCTACTGGAAGTTGATGGCCGCCGGGGGAGGGGAAGTCATTTTTTTCAGGGGTTGTAGTCACTGGTGAGTTACCCATGCTCTAATGGATGTCCCCATATATGTGCAGGGACCCAGTAGGTTATAAAAAGTAAGACACAGGGGTGGGAGGTGTTTGTGTTAGGGAAGAACTGAGAAGAGGGGGAGTGGGGAGCTATAGGGAGCTATGATCAAGATACAATGTATCTTGTATATAAGTATGGCATTATCAAAAATAAATAAAAATAAAATGTTTAAAAAGGAAGAAAAGCCCTTGAACACTGTAAGTAAGCCTTAGGTTCATTCCTGTGGGTGTATGGAGATTTGAGTGCTGAGAGAAATGCAATCAGTGAGACTGAGCTGCTGCTGTTTGGGATGGGAACAAGGACTCCACTGAGAATAGGATTAGAGACTATTTGTGCCACATTTTTGTGGTGGGAACGCTTTCAGCCAATAAACCTTTAAGACACCAGCCCGCTTTGGGCGTACATGATACCATAAAGGCAGACGAAAAGCATGCTCAGCTCTCTTTGCTGCTGGATTTGGCTCCAGTTCCCAGTGCACAGAGAAAAGTGTGGATCACTATCCTTACTGAGTTTATCCCCAAATAAATAAACCTTTGTTATACTCCATTCTGGGATATTGTGGAATTCTTCAGTACGATTACAAAATGGCACCAACGTGAATCCGCGACATCCACATAAAACCTGAGAGAGCTCGGGAAGGAATTCTAGACACAAAAGAACAGAGTTAAGCTTCTTGGTAGCAGCATTTTTTTCAGATAGGTTCTGGTTGCTGGTGGTGAGCAGAGGCATGATTCCTTTAAGAGAAGGCTCCCTGACTCAGCCTTAGCAGCAAAAACTGCATGGCTCCTTTAAGAACTAGATTCCTGTTCGAGCTGGCAACAAGAACTCTGACTCTTTTGGGAGCTCCTGCACTTGAATGGGGTTTGTGAACAGAGTGCTGGATATGGTTCCAGTTAATGGCCACATAGACCTATTGCATCCCTAGAGCTGAGGCAATGAGTATGGCTCACAGAGGCAATGAACATACCCCTACCATGTTGGATGGGGCAGAGCCAACAGGCAAGGCCATGGAGTTCGTCCTAGCCACACCCACTTAGGAATTAAAAGAAAAAGGAACTCCTGGTCAGAAAATGATTACAGATATACGATAAAGACAGATTTAGACAAAAATAAACCTCTGAATGGTCACAGTGTGTTTAAAAAATGTACGTAGACTTGGGAGAGAGATGAAAAAGAGTATAGATAAGAGTACAGAAATTAACAGATTAAAGGAGTAAAGATAATTAAATATTAAAAAATAAAGTAAAAAAGTAAATCACATAAAGATGGAAAATACACAGAGAGTCTGGATTATGTATATTGTTGCGTTTTCTTTGAATTTTTTGACTGCAGAAAGACATTTGATACTGGCGACTGCTAAGTTAAATCAACATAAAGGTATCTTGACTTCAAATTATGAATCTAAGAATATATTGCTTTGGAAAAGAGGTTTTGCTTTTGTTTCCACAGAAGATGAGAACCTGTGGATTCCTTCCAGGCTAATGTGGTTCAATGGAACAAGCCTCCCCCTGAATTGTCTCCATGAACCCTAAAAATACTTTGCCTAACAAACAGCAGGAAGCAGTTTGGAGAAAACAATGCCCAAATTCCCAAAATGGTTGTTTACAAATGTTTATTTTTATTTTAAAAGGATTGGTTATAATTGATTAATGGTCACAATCAAGTTCTAAAAAAAATTAAGGGAATATGAAATAGAGATAAATACTTTGCATTGGGATGGACTTTGGTTTATTGATACAATTTATGGTCAATTTTGTTATATTCATATTTCTACTCTTGTTTAAGGTATGTTTATACAGCTCATTAAAAATGTAATATATAATTAAAATTATAGATAGATAGCCTTTTATGACAGTCAAACTTGTAGTCATGTTAGTTAAGTTTTCATGAGTAGGTATTCTTCAAACCTTTCAAAGCCCTATAGAATATGGCATTTAAATGTTAACCTAGGACTTTTCATGACAATGAGACACATCTGCTCCTGGTAGCACCAATCTACTTCAAAAGGATGGTGGGCATCAAAGAGGCTCCTTATGGAGTTTGCTAGACATTTGGGCAAGAAACTGCTCGTCTGGACTGCTTGATGGTATGCTGTATGAGCTGGACATGCAGGAACTACAGAAAAATGACTGCTAAATTTTCCAAAAGACAAGATGGTCCTTTGGGGTTCCTGTTTCACAGAGGAAACTGCCAGGTATTCTACAGGACACAGAAGAAGTGACTGACAAACTGCCAATATAATCAATGCAGCCTTTCAAATTTCCTGCTTCATGAAAAAGTCTGCCAGATACTATGAGCCTGTAGGCTGAAGACGGGTGCCCCAACATTACAGAAGAACTTTGGGTGACTGTCCAGGCAGCAAGATGTCTCTTGTCAATTCTAGAGTTTTGGAAATTGCTTATAATGCACTTCCTGTTAACTTAGATAGTATTATATCATTCTGGGGTCTTTGCTGGACTTGAAGACAGTTCTATAGTTTTCCTTAGTTATGATAAAAGATAAATTAGATATGAAAATTTAGACTCACAAAGAAATACTGTAACTGTATTTCTTGCTTGATACCTGTTTTGTTATATGTAATTTTACTATGTTAAAGTTTAAACCTTCCTTTTTAATTATACAGAAAATGGGAGATGATGTCCTTCCGTATATGTGTTGCTTTATTGGTTGATGAATAAAGCTGTTACGACCAATGGCTTACAGAGTAGGGCCAGGCGGGAAATCCGAACAGAGATATATAGAGAGAGTAGATGGAGTAAGAGAGATGCCATGTAGCTGCCAAAGGAGAAAGACAATGGAATCTTATTGGTAAGTCACAGTCTTGTGGTGATGTACAGATTAATAGAAATGTGTTAGTTTAAGATGTAAGAGCTAGCTAGAAATATACATGAACGATATAGTTTTGTGTGATTATTTGGGTCTGGGTGGCCAGAAAACAAATGAATGGTCTCCGCTTACATATTTTGGTGCAGGGTTTGCCTATATTTTAACTATGTTCTGAAAATTATAAAGAGGCTGAATTCCAAAGTAATTCAAGGCAGCACAGCATCGGGCTATGGTATGGTTAAGGCTGACTGCTTTAGTCAGGCTTACAGTGGAGTCCAAATAAAAATTAGAGCAGAGAGATAGGGAAAATAAACTATTTGGCCAATAAAGAAAAACATCTCAATCTGCCAAAGCACGTGTGACAGGTTGCCATAGTTATTTGAGATAAACACCATAAGGAAGAAGTCAAATGGTTTGCACCTGGATGTAGAGGATGCTTTTAGTGCATTTCAGGATTTGGTGAGACCCCAGAAGGCTCCAGCACATAAAACTGCTTGCTTATTTGAAAGAGTTCTCTTTAAAAGACATAGCTGCAGGGGCACCCTGCTTGAACGGGGCTGCTTAGAGAAGTGTTGCTACAGGTTCACCCACACAGGCCCTCAGAAGTCACTGAGGTCATGATACATAAGAGGCGATCGGTGAAACTTAGTGTTGACCACATGGTGCTAGATTTTCATACATGCAGTATACAAGAATTATGGGATTATGAAAGGATATATGCCTAGATTAAGGAAAGCTTGTGAGGCCATGTAATTCAGGGTTGCGTTTCCTGTAAGGAGCATCTCATAGGACAGAATCTCCGAGGAAGCCTAAGCTGCAGTAGAGACCCCTGGACCATGGGACATCTCCCAAGGAAAGCTATAGGTGGAGCTAGCCCCAGAGAGGCCACATGGGCAGCCAATGGCAAGGCCACAGGGCTAGAGCACTCAGTGCCTTGTAATCTCTCCTTTCACTCTCCCATTTCTCCCTTCTAGAGTGGGCATATTTACTCTGTACCTTTGCAGTCTAGAAATACATGACTTTCCTTTTGATTTTACAGGGGCTCACAGCTAAGGAACTGTCCTGAGTCTCAAAAACAAAACTCTAGATTAAGATCCCTGAACAATGTTGGAACTATTGAGTTTATGAGTATTCTTGAAGTTGGCCCAAATGCATTTTGCATTATAAGACAACTATGAACCTTTGGAATCAGGGTGCAATACTATGGCTTAGATATCAAATGTCTCCCACAGGCTCATGTTCTAAACACTTGTTCCCCAGCCAGTGGCACTATTCTGGGAGGCTGTGGAACCTTTAGAAAGTGGAGGCTCACTGGCAGACATCTGACACTAGGGACAGGTGTTTGAAGGGTATAGCCTGGCTCCTGATTTTAGAATCTCTTTACTTCCTGGGCTAATGTAATACTGACTCCATTACATGTTGCAATGCCATGCTCCCCCTTCCCCCGCAATGATGGATTGTAACTGGAGCCAAAACAATCTTTCCCACCACGAGGCTGTGTCTGTCAGCTGTTTCACCGCAGCCATACAAAAATAGCTAAAAGAAACACCCAGAGAGCTCAGAAGATTGTTCTTAAGTTCTTGAGCACACAGTATAAACCAAGCACAGTGTCCAGCCCGTGTTATTCCCTGTGTTGCTCATCCAATGGCACTGACATCACCCATGTGCCAAATGATAGGGAAGATAGAAAGTTACAAAGTGGGGCCCCACTACCTGCTTGTTTTGTTAAAGTGCTCCACAGATCTAGCAGGGACCCTGCTCTGTCTTCCATCTTCCTTCATCTGACATTCCCAGCTCCTTTTTAATTTTCTATTTGCAACTAAAACAAAGACTCCCCAAAGATAAAGTAAAAGAAACTTTCACTCCTAAAGCTTAGAAGTGCAGAGATGGAGAACAGACCACATCTTACCTGTGTCTGAAGAGGAGAACATCTTGCTGACGGGAGCGCTGTGGCACGGAATAGCCTGGACAGAGATGTCCTTCTCAATGACCTTCACCTTGATAGGTGTCCTTACTGGGGACTCTGTAAGAACAAGACTCTATCACCAAGGGCATGCAAACACCCAACAGAAGATTCTAGAAGGTGAGAAGATTCTAGAAGGTGCTGCACCTTGAGGCCCTGCAGTTGTTACTGGCCAGGGCTGGGTTTTAAGATTTATACCCTCTCAATTCTTTTACCATGTTGGCAAAAGTGGGGCTGGGAGTCTAAACTGGAGTAAAAATTCAGAGAAACTGGAGTTCTCTTGTGAATTGTGGGTCCCTGATCTGTGCCAAGGGAGCTATTTTGGGAAGGTAATTCCTTGACACAAACAGAAACAATATACCAATAAATGTGTTTTTCATTCTCCCTGCCTCCCAAATGCCCAGTTACATTGCAATAGAAAGGTCAGTGCTGCCCCCATTAAAACAAAACTACCTTTTATTTTATTTTATTTATTTATTTTGAGACACAGCATATATCCTAGGCTGGCCTTAAATTTCGTATTAGGCAAGAATGACCTTGAATTCCTGATCCTCCTACCTCCACTTCTCCTGTGCTGCGATTACAAATGTGCGCCATTATGCCTACTTGATACAGTCAATGCTGGGGACCCATCCATGTTAGGTCAACGCTGCCCAACTGAGCCACATCCTCAGTCCTACACCATGTCGCCGTATCAGCAGTGTTTTACATTCAACTAATTAGACTTTTAACCATCATGAGTCCCATGTGGGTGGAGTCTTAGAACCAGACTGCAACTTTAGTGAAACTTCCAGGCAGAACCTCATCTTTGCCCCTTAACCACTTTCTCTTTTGACGCAGGGTCTTGGAGCCCTGGCTATCCTGGAACTCACAGAGAGCCACCTGCCTGTGCTTCCCAACTGCTGGAATTAAAGGCGTCTGTCATCATGCCTGGCTCATAGACTATAAACATAACTGCACAATGCCAATGTCTTTCTTTCCATGCCACCCGACTTCTTTTGCCAAGGCTTGGTGCTGCAGCTTACAATGCTCAGGCTGCAGGATGAGACCCACCCCACAGAGGATGAGGACCTGTGCATCTCCTGCAATGAGACTGCACCCTGGGGTCTCACCTGAGCTCAGAGGGGATGCCCTCCCATTGTCAAAGCGAGGCTTGGTCTTCACAGCAGTGACAGTGGTGACCACAGTCCCACATGGCATCACCATACGGTCCTTTTCTATCTTTGCAGCAGAAACAGGAGTGGGCCAGGACTTCGGCTCACCAGGTTCTATGTAAGAAAACTGTGGCAAAGATAGACATTTATTTTGAAACATAGTAGAGCCAAGGCTTCTGTGGACAGTTGCTTCCCACACTCACCAGATCCACACCCGTAAATGAGCCCCTCACAGAACATGGTGTCATGAGAGCACAGAATAGCCATTTCCTTTCCTGGTATATTAATGATTTCTATAGGACTTCTCATACTAAATAATATACAAACACAAGGGACTAGCTATTTTTCTTTACTGCCCATGGGATTGTGATATGAAAAAAATGTCTGTAAATGTTCAATATGATGCAGTTTGAGTGGGTTTTTTGTTGCTGTTGTTGTTGTTAAATATTTTCAGGTTGGCAGGCGCAAGCTGCAACTTGAACCTGCAGATATGGATAGACTCTGAAGCTAACAGCAACAAGTTGACTTAACAGTGGTACCCTGGTTTCCACTACTTCACCTATGTTTCTTAGGGTTGTTTGTTTGTTTGTTTTATCAACCCAGACTGACAAAGACTCAGGAGAGCAAAGTTCAAACTCATCCTAGTCTAAGCATGACTCAGAAGAGGAATTTTAAAAGGAAGGCAGCTGGGCCGGCTGAAATGACACTAGGAAAGGTCATCTCCTACAGCAGCCAGCTTAAGCCAGTTGTGGCAAGATGTGTCGACCTGAGCCTGAAGGCCATGCTGAGCAGAGGCCTTCCTGGGTGTGCTGAGCATGTCATATGGAAGTCTGAGCTGAGGCAGGCAGGAGACAGGACTGTAGCAGAACATGTTATCGTACCTCTGCGGTGACTGAACCCAACACCAAGCTGTCAGGCTCTGTTCCACTGACCAGTCTGAAGGTCTGTGGGCCATTAGGCTGCTTCCTAAATAAGTCTAGGTGAATGGTTGTTGTCCCCAGCAGACCTAGAGTGGAAGACAAAAAGGAGCAATGGTGATGTTTCCACAGTCGTACACCCTAAAGGATGTCCCGTTAGCTCCACTACACAGTGTCAAGTGTTACCAAATAAAAAGAGGCTGCGGGCATTCCAGGGAAACTTCTGCCATGCTTGGCAGAGCAATATCTAAACCACACAGAGTGTGGAACTGCATCAACCATCCTTGAACCACTGACAGGAACAGGAAGTAGGACAGTGGGGGATGGGAGAGGAACGGTATCCACAAAAATGAAGACGCTACTGAATGTCCTGGGCAAAACACACATGGGAGGATGGAGGGGTCAGGGTCATAATGACAGTGACCTATTCTCAAATATGTGTCTGCGTGTGAAAAGCAAGAGTAAGAAAGAGGGAGAGATAGGGTGAGAAACGAGGAAAAAGGGAGACAGATAGGGGTGCAATAACTAACCAAACATAAAGATTATGGGCAACAGTGCAAATATTCAGAACGAGAATATAAACATGGGCTGCGTGGGCACACCCTGCATGGCATCTGTAAAACTGCCAGAGCTTTCAGAGGCTCCATCAGGCTAACCAGGAATGCAGGGGGTTAAGCCACCAGGAGCAAGAACCAGCAAGGATGAGAAGCCAATGGTAGCCTAATGTAGGGTGTCTCACATATTCACTCAAAGAAGATTTTTCTTACTACTTCTGCAGGCATCTAAAGATAGCAGATTCAAAGAGGCTTGCACAGACCTCTTGAAGGTAACTAGGGCAGGATCACCTGGTCAGTCACCTGTCTTCCAACTTCCCTTCAGGAGATCACAAAGAAACTCAGTGGCACAGCTAGATAAGCCAATGGTCTCTTCCTTCCCAATTTAATGTTTACATGGATTGTAAACACCCAAGAGGTCTGAGAATGTAACTCACACTTACCTAGCATGCTTGAAGCCCAGCACCACAAAAAGAAAAATGAATTTAAGAGCCAGTGAGATGGCTCATCAGGTAAAGGTACTTGTCACCAAGCATGATACACTAAGCTTGATTCCTAAGACCCACAAGATGGGAAGGAGAGAACTAACTCCTCCTGCAAGCTGTCCTCTGACCTATACACAGCACTAATGTAAAAGCAGAAGAATCTAACAAACATTGTGCCAATGTACACTGAAGTACACACTCAAGTCCATGTTTACGTTGGTGACTTTACCCTCAATTGTTGCTTTCCTGTGTGTCTGAATCATGTGTCTACTTTAAATTAAGCCCAAGGGGCTTATTCTGTAGGGAAATATCAGCTGAAACTTATAGAGAGGTATTAGGAAAGGGGCTGCCATGGCTATAATGGGAAAGTTTGTTTCAGTTTTTTTCTTTTCATTTTTGTTTTTGTTTTTTGAGACAGGGTTTCCCTGTGTAGCCCTGGCTGTTCTGGACTAGATCTGTAGACCAGGCTAGCCTCAAAGTCACAGAGATCTGCCTGCCTCTGCTTCCTGAGTGCTGGGATTAAAGGTGTGCACCACCACTGCCTGGCTTGTTACTATTTTTTATTTAAAATTGAAGGAAGTCCATTAAGTATAAAATGGTTCAAAATTGCTCCTCTAATCCAAAAATTATTGAAGAAATATTCTAAGTTTGAAGAAACAGGAACATAAGAGATGACTCAGTACTAAGAGCACTGGCTGCTCTTCTAGAAGACCTAAATTCAGTTCCTAGGCACCATGTGGCAGCTCACAACCATCTGAAACTCTGGTCTTGGAGGAACTAGCACCTCCTTATGACCTCTGAAGGCACTACATGCACACAGTGCACAGACATACATGCAGGCAAAACACTCATATACACAAAAATAAAGTAAAAAATAAATTAAAAACCAGACAAGCATGTCCCCAAAATGAAAGACATTATTGACGTTTAACTGTGTACCAAACATTTCATTGGGAGACCCGAGATTCAGCAGAGGGGGCCACCTTCTTTGCAGAGTTTCTCCCATCCCCATTTCAGAGTCCAGGTCAGGGTGCTAGTCTGGAGCATCCTCCACCCACCTTCTGGAGAGCACCCATTCTCTGAGATCTGCAAGAGCAGCTCCTTAGATTTGGCGTTCAGTTCACTGTGAAAAGAACAAAGTCCTGTGAATACTTCAAAGCTCAATGTTATCAGGTTGGGCCCCCCCGCCAATGTATGCTTTTTAATTATGCAAAGGAACACAAAGTTATTATCATAAAAGGCAGACTGCCTGCAGCATGGCGGTCAGAAATAGCCACTGATGCATCCAGGGATCCACGGAAGATCCTTTGATGACAAGACGTATATTAGACAGAGCTAATGCATCAGCCATTGAGACCTTGATCTCATTAGGTTAATTTTTATTAAATTAAATTAAAAGTCAGACGTCATTGTTACCATTTAAAAACGACGACTATGTATAATTAACTGAGTACAGAACACAGAATGTCCAACAAGCCTCCCTCCTCCTTTCGAAGATGCCTTTTACTTGAGATACATGTAGTATTCCTGTTCCCATGCTACTTCCAATATCACCTTTAATAGCTTTAGGTGATTTTCTTGAGACATCAGAGACTGCAGAACAACTTCGTTTTTGACAGATGTCTAGTGCTCCGTTGCCTTGGCCTTAAGGAATTTTATTCAGCCAAGTCCTTACAGATTGAGGACTATAAAAATAGAATTTAAAACTAGAGTGGTTGTTTCCAGAAAACAAACCGAGATTAACATCCCCACACAGTTGGAGGTCAGAGTACAGTAGTTAGAATTGGCTCTCCCCACCAAATGGGGCCTGAGGATTGAACTCAGGCTGGCAAGCTTGGCAGCAGCGTCATACCCACTGCCCTCTCCAAGACCTGCCCATCACTTCTGGCATTTCCTTCTCTTAGACCATCCCTGTCCTGATGCCAGTGGTCTGCTCCTGGGACTGATCGTTCACAGTGAGATTTTAAACTCCTATTACAGAAGACTCCATGAATTTGCCCTAATTAAGTGTTTCAAAACTGGGAACCAGTATGAAACTCTACTAACTCTCTTTGGGGACGATGTGAAGGCAGGAAGTTTACTTCTTCCTGTGATCTACTGACAAAGTGGAAGTCATTGACAGATTTTCTTATACAAAGCCACCTTTATATTTCTGGTGCAAACTCAAGTAGATTTATTTATTTATTTATTTTTGAGGCAGGCTCTCTACATAGTTCTGGCTGTCCTGAAACTCAGTATGTAAGCCAAGCTGACCTTGAACTCAAGAGATCTGCCTACCTCTACTTCCCGGGTACTAGGATTAAAAACATGTACTACCAAATCTGGCTTGGATTTATTAATTTATTTATGCTAGAATGACTAGTCAAACTTTTTTTTAGATTTATCTATGTGCTCAAATGTTTTGCCTGCATGTATGTATACCACATGTATGCTTGGTTCCTGCAGAGACCAGAAGAGGGCATCCATCACCTGGAACAGTCATGAGCTGCCATATGGTTACTATGAACCAAACCCAAACCCTTTGCAAGAGCAGCCAATGCCCTTGACCAGAGCCACAGCTTCCTAACATATGTGCTTTAATATTTAGTGTATTCTGGATCCTATGTGATGGCACATATTAGTTAGGATCTTTACATTGTGATTTATAAGTGGTTTGCATGTCCTTTTTCTATTTTTCCCACCAGAGGTTGGCATTAGCTGGAGATTTCCTTTCACTCTGTGTGACTGGCTGCTAAGGGAAGCAGGGATTCCCTTAATAGGCCCTTCATCATAACAGGGAATGAGGAGAACGGTGATGCCCAGAACTGCCTTTAAAAAGAAGATCATGTTGGACACAGGGTTGACTGTCTTTCAAACACTCAGGGCTTGCTTTCATTTAACTAATTTTTAGTATAAATAGAACTATGCAATGACTCCAGGATCTGTCCATCTTGAGCAGACCTAGCTGCTGCCACCAGGCCCTTGAGGATGCAGGCTGTACTCACAAGGTCAATTCCTCCTCCCAAGAGAGGTCTGTAGTGTTTCTCACTAGGGTGCTGATGAACTGCTGTGCAGGATCATTCAGCTGGGCCACACACACATGGCTAACGCTACCTGTGATGAGATGAAGCAAGGCTGAATTAGCTTTTATTTTTTAATGCATTAAGTCTTTGCTTACCCACACAAGGAATGGTAAATTAACTGACAAGGATCTCAGTTTACCAACAAAAAAGAGATCTTTCTTTCACTTGCCATTTATATACTCTCAAAGCTTGCGCAAATCCTTTGTGGTAATAGCGCTGGACTGACTCCAATGCACTGCTTCCTTCCAACAACTGATCAATTCTGACAGCATGCAGGACTCTCAGGGATGGAGTCTCACCCAGAAGCAGCGTGCCAATGTGCTGAGACTAACAACCTGATTATAGAATAGCTGGTCCTAAGCTTAAACTGTGGCCACATCTCACAGACAACTCATGTCTCACTTACAACAAGCGGGTATTTTCAATCCTCATCTAGCCCAAAGCCCTGCTGGGGGACTTGGTATAGGCACTGTGACATGTCACAGCTGTTCCTGCTCTGAGAAAAGGTTTCCTTCACAGCATCAGTCCTGGAGTCTTACTACCGTGCATCAGGTCAGGGTAGCTTTCAGTCTCCTGTGAAAGGGGAGACTCAGATCCATTTCCATATGTGGGCATGTCAGTGTGGATAGGCAATGGGATTTGGTTTCATAGCATGTGTATCCCAAAGCTGGGACTCCCACCCCTGGCTGGCAGTGCAGGGGATCCACTTCCCCACTAGCTGATACAGATGTGAAAGGCAACATGCAAGTTACCTGCACCAAAAGATATCACCTACAGCCAGCTTTGTAGAGACAATTCAAATGAAGTCTCTTTGTGCCTTGTAAACTGAGAAGGAGAAGCTTTGCAAATAGTAACCAGCATTCCTAACAATGGCCTAGACAATGGCCAGAACTGTACTTCTATTCTCATCAGCATCAAGCTGCAATCGGACAGTCATATCCTGCTTCAGACTGCTAAGCTGAAGCGGGGAAGGCAGGGCTCAGTGACCACTGCGAAGGGCCAGGGCACACAGCTGCCTTCTTCCCATCAGCGGCACCAGGGGCATCAGTGAGCCTAAGTCCTCTGATCCCCCATCAGCCACTCTCATACCCCACTTTTTAGGACAACAGAAGATGCACTGCTCAGAGGCTCAGAGGTCTTCAACATGAATTTATTGGCTCATTTTAAAAAAGCAAAACAATACTAGCAACAGTTGCTGAAAGCAGAGCAACCATGACACTGCTCTCCCTTGGCATTCATGTACATGAATTAGATTTGCATATTTGTGGGGTGCAGTACGACACTTTGTAGCATGTATCGCCTGTGTAATGCTCAGATTCTGTTACTAGCATTGCCACTGTTTCAAACATCTGTCCTTTCTCTGCATCTGGAACATTTAGAATCTTTTCCACAAACTCTTTGAGTATGCATAGAAAAACACAGTTGCTTACCGTGTTAAGGGGTTACAGTTTGTGGCATCTGGACCCCAAGCCCATTAGCCAAAGAACAAGGGTTTCACTATATTTCTGCCAAGGAAGGCAGAGATCATACTGCAGACCCAACCAGGTTGCCATACAAGGATTCACCAGCCCAAGCCAAGGAAGGTACCTCCCACAACAGTGGAAGGCCCCATGAGGCCCTGGTGGCATCAGCACCCACCTGAAGCACCAGGGTGGGTTAGCAGGGAGACTCGGATATTCTTCACCTGCAGTTTTAGTTCATGAGCCCTTGGAGGTTTGGGAGGGCAGGGTTCCTGAGCAGTGGAGGAAGTGCACTGTAGAGTCTGTAGGAAGAAGGCAGGGTAACAGTTGTGAAGATATGAGGGGATTAGGCTCCATAATGCAGGCATAATTAAGGAAGTCCATGAGAGCCCAGAATAAAGGACAACAAGTATGTATTTGGGGAAGAACTCACAACAAGGGTAGAGAGCCGTGGTCCTCTGCACTGGAAGCTGCAAACAGAACTCCGACCACCACCCAAGAGAACAAGCATGCTTCCTCTCTGTGCTTATCAGTCCACACACAGTACCTCAGATCACGCCCTAATGGGCCAGTACCCTAAAGGCTATTGGCTAAATGAATTCCCATGATGGGCACTGACTTTTATAAGGAAATAGGACAGCCAGGGGCACTAGCTTCTATATGAGTGATATCTTTGACACCAGTGTCACTAGAACAGGGGATCTGACTGCCAGGATCAACCCAGAATTGACAGTCCTATCTCATGAGAAGGTTCTGTTGTTTCTGAAGTGAACCTTTCCTTCCTTCCTTCCTTCCTTCCTTCCTTCCTTCCTTCCTTCCTTCCTTCCTTCCTTCAAGATTTATTTATTCGTGTCTATGTGTGCTTTGTTTTTATGCACATCAAAAGAGCGGATCATATCCCATTACAGATGGTTGTTAGCCACCATGTTGCTGGGAATTGAACTCAGGACCTCTGAAAAAGCAGTCAAGAGCTCTTAACCACTGAGCCAGCTCTCCAGCCCCATGGTGAACCTTTTCTATCCCTACTGAAGAACCCTTCAGAGAGTGATGTCCCTGTTCAAATTCTGCTTTGTCATCTACTTCCGAGGACAGTAAAGACTAGCCAGCACATAGTTTCATGCTCAGACCCAGGGGAGGTTCTTTAGATAGTGAACTGGTCTCCATGCTGCGGTGCTTCACAGGACAATATCTAGATATGAATGGCCATCAGCCTGTGATCACCCCTTGCCTCCAGGCAGAGCCCCTAATTCCAGGAAGAACATCTATGAGGGTACAGAGGCAGGTACAGTCTTATTGCATTCTCAGAAGGGCACAAGGCACTAGCTGCCATGATGGTGCTTACAGGGGCTCTTAAATTTAGCACAAGAACCTAAGGTTCTCTGAGAGGTGCTGGACAGTTAAAGCCATGCAGCAGCTATCCTGGTTGCTGACTGAACTTGAGCTACTTCTTAGTGGATGCTTACTAACATCTCCAGAGATACTCATGGTAACACCCAACAAACACGGTTCTGAACCAGGTTCTCTCCTGTGAGTGAAGAATGCCAGAGGCCAGGAAGGACTGTAAACTTCCTTAAAGCACTGGGATGGGATGGAGACTTCATACTTTGTCAGTTGTATAATGTGTGGCTACATTTTTCTTTCATTACTGTGTATGTGTACATGTATTCATGAGTTTTTACATGTGTGGGGGTTCACATGTGTGTGTGTGAACATGGACATATCTATGCATATGGAATCCTGTGACTGTAAGCAGGTGTAATCCTTAATCACTCTCCACCTTACTCACTGAGGCAGGGTCTCTTTGTTGAACACAGCACTTACCAATACAGCTAGTTTAGTCAGCCAGCTTGCTCCAGGATCCCCTGATCTCTGCCTTCTGAGGCTAGAACTACAGGCAGACCACCATGTCCACCTGGCATTTACTTTGGGTTCTAGGGATCCAAATTCTAGTCTCCATACCGGCACAAAAGTGCTTTAACCACTAAGCTCTGAGGGTTCCACTTCTGGGCCATAAATACCCAGCTACTCAGTTCAACACTATTCTGGGTGTTTCTATGATGGTGGTTTGAGATGAGTTCAATGTTCAGGACAGATTTTTATTTTCCTGAGACAGGGTATTGTGTCACCCAGACTGGCCTCAAACTCATTATGCAGTGGAGGATAACCTTGAACTTCTGATCCCCTGGTATTATAGGTATTTGCCACCATGCCCAATGACTCCATGCATGCTGCATGCTAGGTAAGCACTCTTCCAAGTAAGCTGTAGTCTGAGAGATCAATGTTTATTGGACGGAAGGAGTAAAGTAGATGGCTATCCCTAATAGGATGGGCTTCATCCCATCAGTTGAAGGCCTGAGTAGAAAAATGAGCAACCCTCAAATGAAAGAAATTCCTCCTTCCAAACACCTCAGTCAGGCCATGGTCTTTTGCTGTTCTTAGAATCAAACAGAAACACTGGTCTTCCTGGGATTGAGCGCTGAGCCTGTGGTCAGTCTGGACTGAGGCCAAAGCATCAACTCTCCTGGTGTCCAAGGCTTCAGATATGAGCTGGAATCACACCGTGTTTGTAGCAGTCACAACACCATAATATATCTTATAGGTCTCTCTCACCACCATGCCCAAGTGCTTAATTTCTCTGGAGAGGTTTGTCATGGGTATAGTACTTAATTAAATTGGACAACTTCATTTTGGAATGTGATTGGATTTAATAGCATAGGTCCGTTTTTTCAATCTGTAGATTATGAAAATACAATACTGTTTTGTGAACTCTCACCAAGTTATATAAATTTATGGTCACCAATCAACTCTGCTTCTCAAGAATCTACTGTTAACAGGATTACTGGGAGATGCAGTAGCTGGGGCTTGCTCCAACCTCTGTGGATGTATGACTGACTCCAATATTGGGGAGTCACCTTATATCTTATCCCTCTGAGAGGCCCTGAGGGAAGTTTATAACCTCCTGTGTTTTCATCTCCTAGCTGAGCTGTACCTGCCACCCTGCAAGCAAAGGAAAGTAAAGATGACTTCTCATATCCCTGTGACCCTAGTCACCTAGAATTTAGTACCAAATATTATCATCAGCTGACAGTGCCTGATGAATGTGGGGGACCATAGCCTCATGAGAACAACAACAACGAGCGGCCTGGCAACCTCTCTCACCACGGGGCTGTGATCTAATACCACGGACAATATCTGCCCGTGCAGTGTCAGCCCCACCATGAGAAGGGAAAGCACTGGAAACACAAGTTAGAATCACCCGCGTCCTGGGATCTGGGCTTACCTGAGCTTCTTTGGCCCTTGAAGGCTTGGAACTCAGAAACACAGATGGAGAGGCAACACCAACTAGGTACTTCAGAAGATCCACAAGGGCTTCAGAAAGCATGCTTACCTCAAGCACCTGCTTCTGGAGAGGGAAAGGCCATCAGATCATTGCACGCCAGATGCAGGTACCTGACAGGCATGCCAGATGTTACAACATCAGACTACATTAAGCAACCTTGGTGTGAGGGCTATGCTGGCTCTTATCACTAGGACTGCAACTGTCCTGCTGGCCCATGACAGGCTAGGAACAGCAGCAGCCTCCAGGAGCACAGCCAGTGAGGAAATGGGGAGCTCGGATCATAATGAACCAATTGTGCTAACAACTATGTGAGGTTGAAGAGGCCCCTGAGCTGCAGAGAAACACAGTCCAGCCAAGAACTTGATGGAAGGCAGAGAATGTGCAAAGACTCCAGATCTCAGACACCGCACAGCAATAAGCACGCTGCTTCCAACTGTTGGATCTATTGATTGCACCCGTCTTGGTTATCTGGTTTGTTGCTTTGACAAAAGCAACTTCAGGAAGAAAAGGTTCATTTTGGCTCACAGTTTTAAGGGGCCGTGTCTCATGACAGAGAAGGGAAGGTGGCAGGAATGTGAAGCAGTTGATCATAGTGAATATCAGGAAGCAGAGAAAGATAAATGCCGGTGCTCAATTTGCTTTCTCTTTTTTATTCATTCTGGGACCCTAGCCTATGAGATAATGTTGCCCACATTCAGGTGGGTTTTCCATCTCAATTAATCTAACTTTGAAACTCCCTTAATGAGTTGTCTGGAAGTTTGTTTCCACGGTGATTGTAGATCCCATCAAGTTAAGAATCAAGATTTAGCTGGGTGGTGGTGGTGTATACCTTTAGTCCCAGCACTTAGGAGACAGAGGCAAGTGGATCTCTGAGTTCCAGCCCAGCTTGGTCTACCAACCAAGTTCCAGGGCAGCCAGGGCTACATAGAGAAACCCTGCTTGAAAAACAACCAAACAAACAAACAAACAATCAAGATTTAACTGTTAGCATTCTGCAGCTCAGATAGCTCCCATATTCAAGATGTCAAGGTGGAAGTATCCCATGGGAAGCCTGTGAAGGGACCACAACAACCTTCCTGGGACTCATACTGCACCATTCCTAGCTTGGTACCGGTGAGGGTACGGCACCCATTCATGTGTGCATGGTTCTGTGCAGCAGAGTTCTACAAATCAGAGGTTCTTAACTGTGGGTTGTGACCCCTTTGGAGTTGAATGACCCTTTCACAGGGGCCCATGTCAGATATTCTGCATATCAGACATTTACATTATGATTTATAACAGTAGTAAAATTATGAAGTAATTTGTAATTATGAAGTAGCAACAGAATAATTTTATGCCTGGGGTCACCATACCATGAGGAACTATATTAAAGGGTCATAGCATTAGGAAGGTTGAGAACCACTACTATAAATGTTTTTAGTGCACAGGTTTGGGGTTTTATTTTATTTTTTAGTATTAGGGATAGAGACCAGGGTTTTGCCAATATTGGGCAAGCATTCTATCAGTGGAATACATCCCTGGTGGACGTTGGGTTTTTAAGACAAAATCTCACTGTGTGTCCAAGCCTGGCCTTAAACTCATGATCAGGCCTCCTTATAGTGAACTTGGCCTGTATCTACTAAAAGTGGGCTGGAATCTTTAAAATGCAAGGTTTCTAAATGCCAAAAACCAAAAGGCTGATGCCATGGCTCTCACTGGGGGCCAGCCTCCCATATACACACGTATTAACTGGTTTAATCTTCACATCACATTCCCTCCACTTCACAGATAAGAAAATGAAGACATAGAAAACTCAGTTAACATTCACAGAGCCATAGAGTCCATAAATAGGAGAGCCAAGAATCAAATCCCACTGGCTAAAACAGTTAAGAGTCTGTGCTTTGAACCAGGAGGCCATCACCTATCCTCTCAATGGTTCCTTGATAGCCTGGTCTTCATTTTTAAGTTAAATAAAAGTCACATGATATAGAACAACTATTTAAATGTACCTTCCACTGCTCCTTTGTACACACACAGTACTAAGCACCCACTCCTTAAATATGTTCTCAACCTTCTTACTACTTCCTAAAGATGAACCCCAAACTCCGTCCTATCAGGAGTCACACCCCTAACTCCTGGCACCCATCCTTCCTTCTTTGTGGATTGCCGTTTCTGGATGAGACCTGTCATGACACTTACACCTCTGTGTCCTGCGTCAGGCTTCTCTTATCCTTCGCAAAGCTAATCAGCACACAGTGTGCACCAGAAAGACACCCCATTTCTGGCTGAATAATACCACACAGCAGAGCTGTGCCTCGGGATGGGCTCTTACATCTCTGTCTGACCTGCACAATTGCTTCTCACTCAGTAGACAGGAACTCTGGGCTGATGGCAGGTGTTATCTAACAGGCTCAAGAACAGTGGCCAGGACAACAGTGGAGAGGCCTTTCACAGCCTCTCCCCTCCCCAGTGCTGTTCTCATTCATAGGGGGCTGTGGGTCTGCTACTGCAGTAGCCACAAAGGGGCCCCAGAATGCTCTACAGGGGAATCTGTGGGTGCCTAGAGGATGAGGGACAGGAAGTGTAGAGAGTAGACAGCATGTTGCTGGTTGGCTTCAGGGGGAGGAGCGAATGAGATCATCTTTATAAAACGGCACAAGTCACTTCTGTGCAGGTCATCAGTAAGGCCAAGTGGAAGGGAGCAGAGCTTTTCCCCAGTCTGTCAGTGGTGCTGACTTCAGATCAAATTTCTTTATTTTTTAAATTTAATTTATTTATATTTTATGCATGAGTGCTCTGCATGTATACCTGCAGGCCAGAACAGGGCAACAGACTCTATTATAGGTGGCTGTGAGCCACCATGTGGTTGCTGGGAATTGAACTCAGGACCTCTGGAAGAGCAGCTAGTGCTCTTAACTGCAGAACCACCAAATTTTCAATAGTCAAAATTATATACAAGGAGTTGAAAAGAAGGTTCAGTAGTTAAGAGCACACTGGCTGTTCTTCCAGAGGACCTGAGTTTGATTTCCAGCAACTGCAAGACAGCTCACAACCTTGTCTAACTTCAATCCCTGGAGATTGCCCTCTTCTGGCCCCTGCAAGTGCTGCACACACATCATACACAAACACACATGCAGGCAAAACCCACACACATAAAAATAAGTTATATAAAAAAATAAATAAAATAAATATATAAATAAACAGAGATAGGGAACTCCTGAACACCTGAACATTGGGGCAAATAAGTCAGTATCAGATTGGTAACACAGCTACCCATGGGGAAAATGACTCAAGGAATCACACAGAACTATGCCCTTCTTTGCACTGAGAAAGTCAACGTGGCTGAGCTTCCCTGTGTGTACTGCAGGTGCATAAACGATGCCATCATCAGAAAGAAGCAAGCAGCAGAAGGAAAGAGAAGCAAGGGCTGCCCCACCCCAATTCATTCTCTCTTTCTCCTTCCTTCTGCTCTTTGCTTCTCTCAGACAATGACATCATTTGTCCAGACTTTCATTCCACAGAGACAAGCCCTGACATGTTCAGTCTCTTCCGCTGAGAAGGAGACCATTCTGTATTCAAGATTCCTTGAGTCATTCCCCCCACACCCCAAGGCTGTGTCACCAATCTGATATTAGTTAATTGCCTGGGTCAGAATTTGTGTATGTGTGTATATGTGTGTGTGTGTGGGGTGGTGGGTGTGTGGGTGTGAAACTTACCAGCTAAAACCAAACCAACCAAACCTTAACCCTCACACTGTACACATCTATGTCAAAATATGAAGACTAAAATATTGGCAGAACTGGGGTAGAACACTAACAAGCACGTTCAGGGCCCTGGGTTCCATTCCCAGCACCAGAGAAAAAATGGAGAGGAAAAGACAAGAGAGATGAAAGGAGGAAAAGACAAGTCTCTTACTGGAGACACACCACAAAGCCCACAGATCTCTACTGTGGGGAGGCCTCAGTAGCTGATCTAGTTGAAATAGAGCAAAACAACAAGAGAATTTTATGAATGCCGCAGGAAGAACTCCCTGTCCAGAAAAGAAAAGTTGTTTTTTTTTTTTTCGCACACTCACAGCAGCTCACACGCTGAGGCCCCAGGAAGTGAAAAGGGTCCTCTCCATCAAAGCCGTCCCCTACAGTAGCCTCTTGTGGCCTACATCAGCATGAGCAGAATGACCAGCAGGGGCTACCCACCTTAGAGCTGCCCAGTTTGAGACATGCCCTAGCCACGCATCCGTAAACCAGTGAAAAAAATGACAAAAACTTACGGACTGACCTCCGCTGGGGTCTGGGGCTGGATCCTGACGGCTGTTTCTGGTACGTGGGTGAATGACCACCTGATCTGGATGTCTTCTCTCTTCTCTTCCATGTGGAATTCTATCTATGAGAACAAACCACCAAGAAACAGTTATTGGGTAGCTGAGCTCATCACCTGAGCCTTAATAAGCTCATACGTGCATGCATCTGTGCCATGTACATGTATATTTATGTATATGTGCCATATATGTGTGCATGTTGAATATGTGCACCGTGTTGTGTCTTACAAGGCATGCATGCATATTCTATGCATATGCTGTGTGCTGTGTATATGAGTACTGATGCTCTCTGCGTATTTATTTTTTAAGATTTATTTTTATTCTATGTATGTGCTGGTTGATTTTTGTCAACTTGGCCCAAACCTAGACATACTTTGAAATGCCTCCATCAGATTAGCCTACAAGTCTGTGGGGATTTTGATTAATGATTGATGTTCATTATGGGCAGTGCTACCCCCTCCTAGGTAGGTAGCTCTACGTTGTATGAGAAAACAGGCCATGAAAATCATGGGGAGCAAGCCAGTAAGCAGGACTCCTCCATGGCCTCTGCATCAGCTCCTACCCTGACCTTCCATGATGGAGTGTGATTCCTTAGTAGGATGCCTTTATTTTCTGGAAAGGCAAAAACAAAACCCCATCCTAACCCTAACTTTGGGGAGTTTTCTTTTTGCAGGTTATATTGATCAAATGGAAGTCATTTGTTAGTCTTATACATCAGTTTAGATGGAATCTTTATCAATTTTGATGATATCCATAACTTTTCTTTTCCTGTGGAAACAAAAGCAAAACCCATTCCCCAATATGACACATATCCTGGTTTCCATTCTGAAGTCAACACATCTTTGAAGTATACAGACTGGTTTAATTCAGCATTTTTAATGTCTCTTCTCCTCAGCCGTCGTTCCTTTTTTCTTTCTTTTTTTCTTCTCTTTCTTTCTTTCTTTCTTTTTTTTTTTTTTTTTTTTTGAGACAGGGTTTCTCTGTGGCTTTGGATCCTGTCCTGGAACTAGCTCTTGTAGACCAGGCTGGCCTTGAACTCACAGAGATCCGCCTGCCTCTGCCTCCAAGTGCTGGGATTAAAGGTGTGCGCCACCACGGCCCAGCCTGTCGTTCCTTTCTTATTATCATTAGAAAATTTAAAGTCAATAAAGCATTGTGTAATCTATCAGTGGGGGTCTTTATTAGTCCTTTCTGTTTATTAAGTATATCTTTTAGAGTGCGATTAGATCTTTCTATAACTGCTTGTCCTGTAGGGTTGTGTGATATACCTGCAATATGCTTTATGTTGTAATATGCAAAAAACTGTTTCTTTTTACTAGGGACATATGTTGGAGCATTGTTCAGTCTTAATTTGTCAGGTATTTGTTATCTTTGAATTGTTTCAATTGCTTGCTGAGGAAGGAACAACAGCAGATAAAAGATATTTGATTATAAATGATGGCCATAACTTCTAATAAATGTGTGTAATAAAGAACCAGCTACTTCAGAACTCAAAGCAGTTTCCCATTGAAACCCTAAATATGTACCTATGGTATGGTATACATATTCTAATTTTCCAAACTCTGCAAAATGAAACGCATCCATTTTCCAAATTTCTTTTCTTTGAGTACCCTTTGGGTTACTTCCTGCAGGTAGTGAAGTTTGGTTATACAAAGAACAAGTAGGACATTTCCTTATAATTTCCTTAGCTTGTTGCCACGAGATGGAGAAATCTTTTCTCAGACCTGAGAATTGTAAGCTAGAATGAACCCTCGCCTCCCCAAGCTGCTTCTAATCATGGTTATTACAGCAATAGAAAAGTAATTCAGATAATGTGTGTAAGTTGCCTATGTGTATGTAAGCGTACTGTGTGCATGCCTGGAGCCCCTGGAGGCTAGAAGAGGCGACATGCCCCTGGACCTGGAGTTATGAAACACTGTAAGCTACCATGAGGATGCTGGAAATCAAACCCAGGTCACCTGCAAGAACAGCATGTGATTTTAACTACTGAGCCCCTACTCCAGCCCCTGTGTGTTTCTTTAGTCACATTCTTACAGACAGTGGCTCGGCCTCTGCCTTAGTCTACAATGTTCTTTCAGAATGGATGTGAAGACCTCCCCACCCCCCAAACTCCTTTCCAGCCTCTCCTCTGCCCAGGCAGGTCCTCAGGCCAAGTGTCACTGACACTGTGTAACCTTATTTAAATAAGGAACTCACTGCACCCTGTGCTTCTCTTTCTGTTATCAAGGCACACAAGAGTGGAGGGAGCGAAGAGACCCAGGGCACCCTGTCTTCAGTGCTGGCCATGGGCGGTACCCATGTGCACATGTCCCTGTTCACATGTCCCTGGGATTATATATGGAGTGCCACAAATAATGGTACCCCTCTCGCCTGAACCACCCCAGAAGCCTCAACTGGTCTGCTGTTTCGAATAGTCCTACTCATGCAGATGGGGCAGAATCCTGGAAAAATGGGTAAGGCCTTCATCCTGGACAGCCTTAGATACAGGACCAGGCATAGTAAAGGGGACTTGGTAGGTGTGGTTAGGGCTGGACCTTAAGACAGTGAGAACAGCTTATGTCTCCAGGTGGCTGGCAGGAGAACGGGACAATAGTATGGTTTGGGAACTACACCCATGGTGACTGAGCTGAGACGGTATAAGGCACAATGACCATGCAGAGTGAGGTGGTATATGAGCTCTTAACAACTAACGTAGAGCCAGCAAGAGCATGACACCACAGTCCTATAACCCTCAAGGCCCCTATAGAAGAAGGCTATCTTCAGAGTCAGACTGCCAGCATTTTCATCAGATCATCTGTATCTGCTTGCAAAGGATCATCAAAGCTGGGCTTGCAGAATAATGACATTTCCTCATTGGAGAGGGAGGGTGAGTAACAGGTCCCTCATCCAGAATCTAGTTACTTCTCCAAACCAGTTTTACACAATTCTGTCCTAATTACACATGGCCTCAGAGGGTGTACAGGCTGAGAGGAACTAGAGAAGGGGGCTCTCCATCTACATAGCTTGGGGAGTCATTATCCATGCTGGGTACAGACCTTACAGTGTGTTGTGCTGTTCTGAGTCATATTCATGATGGGTTTAAAGATAATGGGTGACCTAATTCATAATTAATAACACCATGAGATTCAGAACTCTGTAACTCAGCAGGGATGAATTCTCCCTGTGTCCCTCTTATGGCAGGGAACACAAGGTTATAACTACCATGGATTTCCTGTGACCAATGGCATCGACACAGCCTTACCTTTAAATGAAATGGGGAAAGCCGGACGTCATACAGCTGGCATTCCGAACTGGTGGTGGAGGCAGGCCCTGCACTGACCAGGAACTGAAGGGTCTCACCCACCACATGACAGATCACCATCTAGAGAGACAAGGGACAAGGAATCTTCAGGAGACAGCAAGGACAATGACTGGAATTAGACAAAGAGAACCCAGAAATATGATAGAGAAGATGCATGGGAAGGAGCAGAGAGGGACTTAGAGAACCTGAATCTCATGAATCTGGGAAATGTAGAGAAATCAGCTAGTCACTCCTCTGCTACTTTTTTTATCTACCAGGTTTTCACCCCAATATTTGACTCTCAAGTCTTTATTGGTAATAGAACTTAGATAAAACACATCAAGTTGCCTCTGACCTACACACACACACACCACACACATATAATAAATGAACTTTTTTTTTAAGCCCTAGACATTTCTACACTCATGTAGAGAAAAGCCACTTGCTGTCTTGTGCTAAAAGTAAGCCTTTAAAAGAAAATAAGTCGATGGTGGACTGAGTGGGACAAAATGACACACAAGTAGGAACGTGGTGGATTGCCCTGGGCTCTAAAGAGGAAGCATGGTCCTGCCCAGCACCATGATAGACAGAGACTCACACACAGGCCCAGGGCAGTCTGCCCCAGGCTCAGGAAAGAAAACCCAGGCCCACCTGGCACCTGTGGTGCCTGGCGGATGGTGAATAAATGTACGATATGAAATGGGAGAAAGAGACAGAATGGTGTAGGGCCTGTGGACAGAGGCAGATCTGAAGAGAGAGAAGCAATGAGGAGTAGGCTGGTGTGGGTGGCTTGATTGCCACCCAGGGCCACAGTGATGTCTGGGCCTGGGCTGCTGCTGGGTCCTATGTCTGGGTTCATGGCCCCGATACAGCCACAGTCGGTGTTGGAGTTCATGGCTCCTGATACCACTGAAGGGCGAGAGGCCAGGGCTGTACCGAGTTTGCTCTGCACCCTCACTGGATAAAGCACTCAGGAGAGAGGGTCCTACACTTCACCTAGGCACTGTAGTAGAGCTGACCCTGTAGACAGGGGCACATGTGAGCCAGACCTGAGGGTGTGAGAGGATCAGAGCTGGTACACCTCCCTCTGTGTGTAGTGATGCAGTGGTGGGGGTGAGGGAAAAATGCCCTCCCCCCCTCGCCCCTACTGCTTCCAGCTGGCAAGAGAGCTGACCCTCCCCCCTACCAGCTGCAACACTACAAGTGGGTCCTGAACCTTGTCTGGGCTGCAACAGCAAAGATGACCTTGATGAATGTGTGTGTGTGTGTGTGTGTGTGTGTGTGTGTGTGTGTGTGTGTGGTGTGTATATGATGAGTCGTCCAAGAACATGAGAGATCTGGACCCGCCCCTCATCTGCCATATGGCAGACATGGGTGGGGAGACATGGGTGGGGAAGAGATGTCCTCCCTCTGCCCCTCTATGCCTGGGGTGGGTGGGAGAGCTGTCTCTGAGCTGACCTTGCTCCTCACCAGCTGCAGCACTCAGGAGAGTGGCCGCGCACCTCACCTGGACAACACAGTCGAGTTGGCCCTGATGGTGTAAGTGTGGGAGAGTCGATCCTGAGGGCATGAAGGCAGAAGAATTGGCTCTGTTCCCTTGCTCAACACTGCAAGGGGTAAACTAGCCAGGACCATGCTGGAGAGCTCACCTTGGTAGTGAGATGGCAGGCTGACCAATCCTGCAACTACCAAGGCCCAGAACCAGGATTATGAGTTGGTCTAACCTAACACCCAACCCATCAACAATATACTGGAGTACATGAAGGGGTCAGTCCTGCAGACCCACAGCTGCAGGATTTCCATGACACAGGGCAACAACAGGCTATCCAAGAAGAGTCCTAGTGAGGGTCCAGCATCGACAGTGTAGTAGAAACCAGAAGCCTTGAACCAGACAATGACTTTTTGTAATACACACTTGCAAGTAAAGATATATGGATATTTACTTTGTAACTCACTGTGTCATGCTACAGCTTCCATGATGAGACTGATTTTCCCTTTTGTTCTCTTAAATTTCATTTTATTGTATTATAGGTGGGGGTTGCGAGGGTAGAGGGTGGACACAAAGGGACAGGGAAATGAAAGGGATCAAGATGCATGATGTGAAAGACACAAAGAATAAATAAAAAGTTAAAAAAAGTCATAGGTTATTAAAAGTAAAAAAAAATGTAAAAATTAGCTGGGTGTGGTGACACACACCTTTAAAACCAGCACTCAGGAGGCAGCAGATCTCTGAGTTCAAGGTCACCCTGGTCTACAGACCGAGTTCCAGGACACCCAGGGCTACACAGAGAAACTCAGTCTCAAAAAGTTAAAAAAAAAAAGTAACATGAATTGATAAAGAAAAATATCACAGATTTATCCAGAACATAAAAATTATTCCAATACAAATAATTTAGCATATTATTATTTTAATGTTAGAATAATTTTTAAAACATACATATTAAGTAATCGTAAAATTAAATTAGTCTAATGAAAATAGAATTATAACATGAGTTCAAATATAAAATGAACTTGTATTTTAGAACAAAGTTCTAGAAGAGAAAGATAGGTAATTACATCAACAATAAACCAAACCACAATCTAATGTTATAAGTCACCTCAGAGGGGTGATTTAATGACCAAAATCACAGTGGTTTTTTTGGGGAGTAGATCTTCTAAGTCCGACTCCAGCCATGCATGCCCAGGTCACACCAAAGCTAGATGCCAGGTATCTAGGGCCTGCAGCAGCGGGGCATGTTAGGTACTACACCATAGCGTGGCTAGGCAGTCCAGAATCTAGTCACAGGAAGTCTGAAGATGACACAGCATAGGCCTCTGCCTTCCCCCAAGGAATGGCTGACCCTAACCCTGAGGTTCACTTTAGGAGACAGAAAATTCTTCAATTCTCTGGTGTATTTCTCAGAATCTAAAACACATAGCAGAAAGATTATGAAAATAAATACTTTGCTCGGCTTGATGCCCAAAGTTCAGAGCTAGGTCATCCACCCCCTTTCTTTTCTCATCCCTGGCCTCCCAAACACAGACCTCTTCTGCTGCCACTACCCCACAACACACACACTCTAACATGTCCTTGGTGTGCTTTGAGCCCCTTTAAGGCGACTTCCCGAATCCACAGCTCTAGCACAGTTCACCTAAAATAAAAAAAGTCACTTTGCTTCTCAGTTATGGAAGAAACCGATTCACCTTTCTTTCACCCATTCCTGTGACATTGCTCTCAAAAGATGAATGGCGGGGTCGAGTTATGTCTCCCCCATTCCCAGAGTTCACAGATGGTTGGAACAAAAACAAAACAAAACCAAAAAAAAAAAATGTTTGGATAAGAAATGTTGCTGATTCATGTTAAAAATAAATGTTCTATAAACAATCCTTTCTGGAAATTTTGATAGCAGAGAAGCTCCACAGACCAATGGCTGATGCAGGGAAATGTCACTGCTCCCAGGGCCTGGGCCTTTTACTGCTTGAAATAAAACAATAAAACAGAAAAGGGCTGGCTGCACCACTCTCAAGGGGCTCTAGAACATTCTACGCCGAGCCCATGAGCACTGTACTAAGAACACCGTGGCTTGGGGTGGGGAGGTGTGCTTTAAACCTCGTAAGAAGCTTTGGTTTCCAAGGACACATAAAGCTGCCCAACAGCCATCCCCTGAGAGACACAGAGCATCTAAGCACTTGGGTAAAGCTAGGAAGCAATCAGGCCAATGACTAAATTCAAGGGACCTGAGGACTTCTAGAACACAAGACCTCAAAGCTTATGATATGCCACTTGTAATGGTCAATGTCAGACGTAAACTTGACAGGATCAGGAACCACCACGGCAGACAAGCTTCTTCCACCCCCTCCCACACACACTTGTGAGGGATTGTTTAAATTAGACCCATTATAAAGGAGACCAGGAGGGTCCCCTGGCTTGAGTCTTTGATTTGCCACTCTGCTTTCTGAATGCAGATACCAAACAACCACACACAAACCTGTAACACGAGGGCCGGCTTGTTGGGGTTTCTGTCCCGCCCGGTACCCCAACAGGCCAGCAAGTCCCAAGGAAAATCACACGGAGTCTACATCAGGTTATAAACTGATTGGCTCATTAGGTCAGGCTTCTTGTTAACTCTTATAACTTATGTTAACCCATTATTCTCATCTATGTTAGCCATAATGGCTCCGTACCTTTCTCAGCTGGGCAAGTTACATGCTGCCTCTTCGGTGGCCTGCACAGGAGTGCCAGAGGAACCTCCTTGCTTCCCAGAATTCTCCTGTTCTCATTGCATCACCTCTACTTCCTGTCTGGTTTTCCCACCTATACTGCCTGCCTGGCCAATCAGCGTTTTATTAAAATATGATTGACAGAATACAGACAATTCTCCCGCATCATTTCCCTCTTTTTTTTTTTAAAAGGAAAATACCCACAGTCCATTTATTGGGAATGTGGGCGTAGTATTTCAGGCTACTTCCTGCTGGTTGGGGGCGCTGATAATCTTATGGGGACCTAAAGAAAATTTAGAATTATCATCAAGTCCTGACTGGAATATCCTGGGAGTCTTGATCATCTCAGGCGACAGTCTTGAATCTGTTATCGATGTAGAACTCAGACATCTGGGCCATCTGTTCCTGTTGGAGATTTCTCAGGTGGCCTTCCTTGATCATACTGGATTTTTCTTAACTCAGAATGAATCCACAACCTCTCATTTTCTGTGGAAACAAAAGCAAAATCTCTTCTCCAAAGTAACATACCTTTTGACTTCAGTTTTGAAGCCAAGGTATTTTCAAAATACCTATCTTGGGTTATTTCAGCAGCATTTATAAACAACAGTCTTTTAGCAGTTGTTGCTCCTTCCTCAGCAATCAAACAATTTAAAGAGAGCATAATAGCATACAGTATGAAGATTCTCTGTGCATTTTCCATCTTTATGTGGCTTTATTTTAACCTCTATTTCTTTTATTTTTACTTTTACTTTTTGAGACAGGATCTTTGTATATCTTTGTCCTGGAATAACACTGTAGACTAGGCTGTCTTTGAACTCAGAGATCCTCCTGTCTCTGCCTCCCCAGTGCTGGGATTAAAGGTGTATGCTACCACACCTTGA